AGACCAATTTGAACACTTTCTTTACCATCCCGTACCGCCTTAAAGGAAAAGCGAACAAGACAGAACAAAATATTACCAAAGTTACTAATTATCTAATTGGTCGAGACAATTTCAAAAGGAATGGCAACAAGAAAGGCCATGGTTGTCTGACCCTATCGAAAAGTTGAAATGGAACAATATTCTCATGATTATTATTTATTTGATGTGGATGAACCAACTGGTGAATCAGAAAATGAACTCCCTGTTTTCAATAACCTTCTTGAATATGAATGTGAATTTTGATTTTTTTTTTCTTCCAATTAAATGTTCAAATTAAATTACATGTCTGCAACTCTGGTTTAGTACAATTTGAATATGCAAGGGAATCAAGGAACCCAATGATTAAATGCCATTATGGTAAACAAACAATTTACCGTTCCGGATTAAAGAACAGGCCAACGCTAACGCTAACATGTGGGCCCTTTATTTCTTCAGTGGACTACTTAATTATTTTGTTTGGTTACACACTTGGCTACTGCTATATTTTCTTAGCATCAAACCCTGCTTATTATATTGCTATTTAATAGTGTAAGGTATTTGTACATGTATTTGAATACAGGAATTTTGTCCACAATGAAGAATAAAGACCAATTTAAATAAAAATTAGTTATTTAATTTTTGCTGTTGAATAAATGAATTTTCAATGCCACTTTCTGGAAATTATTCAGTCAAACTTCAAAAAATAATACTCTACACCTTCCTTTGAAGATTTCTACTTCCCATCATGTCAAAATTATGTAATGGAAAAAAAGGAAAAATTAAAATTCAGTAACTCGGCTGCTAAACATTGAAATATCAAAAGAATTTGTATCAATATTGAGAAATTCTCCTCCATCTTTGGGAAATTGAATACAATTTTATGAAAATGAAATAAAACTGTTCATCTTCTGTATATATATTTGACCTAAGATGATTTGGAAAAATTGCATGTGTCACCAAAGTCCAGAGCACTGTAAGATAAGGGGGAGCTAACTCGTATGTACTTGAACCAAGGGACAGGGGGTCAGTCTATCGCTAGACTTAATGTTCCGATAGGCATAGCTAAAACGCAAGGAAGGTTTTCATAATTAAATTAGCGATAACAGTTAAGATGAATGATGATAACAATCATTTAGTAAACGATGCCAAATAATAATAATAATATTCCAATTATGGTACAAAGTATAAAGTCTAAATATCTAATCCAAAGTAAAACAATTTCTCTTTAAAATGTAAAATATAAAATAAATGCCTACTAAATCATAAAATGAATTTAATTTCAAAACAAAATGTAAAAGTCTAAAAATTATAATAATTCTCAAATAGAAATTGCCAAAGTAAAAATGTGAGTCAGATAAATTTTGTCTCAACACTACACCGTCAACTGGTAGACTGGTAGACAGTCTTGTAGGTCCAGTATAATGACATGAGTAGTGAGAGGTTACGATTCCGAAACACTGACTGCTTTTCCAAAATTTAAAAATGCTATTTATACTAAAACCAAAAAATAAATCAATGTGACTCGACATGTAAATAGTACTCTCATTAGCAAAAATAGAATTTAATTAACAAAGCCTAATCCTATAATGTTTTGATAACAACTTAAATTATCCTAGTGACATGCTTATTACAATTAATATTTCAAACAAATCATTTTTAACAAACTGTGACATGTCGAGTACTTGCCACAGCATAGGTAAAATTAATCAAACCAAAATTAATTAAAAATTTTACAAAATACAAACATAATATTTTCTTTCTTAAAATAAAACATATTTTTTATACAAAGCAACACTAACAAACTTATGAGCCAAATTACACACCATGACACATGCCTATGTTTAAACATAGAAATACTCTCAAAATCAACCATTTACAAGTAAATCTAGGGAGACAAGCTTGTTTTATCAACTGAAAAAAAAAAACCAAAAACAATTATCTTTCTGAATTCAATGCACGAGTGATGAATGTCAAGTATTTTCCCGTCACAATACCAGAGAATACTATTTAAATTCCATCGGTGTATTTGATTACTTTGATTGTCAAAAGTACCGTAGAAGAAGTACACCTTTTTTCTGAGAATTTCATGAGCTGAAAGGGGTGATTTTAAAAAGGAAAAGCAACACTTTAGTTTTTTAGGGAAATCATAATGAAATTGATGACGTTCTACATTTCAATCCTTGTGTTGTCTGTTTTTTTTACTTGTCACAAGCACATGTATAACAATTTGAACAAAGCAATGAGGTTTTGGCAAAATTTTAAAATACATGAGCAGAAAGCACTATTATTAGCATATTAATTTATAGCAAAGGAAAGTAACCAATAAACATATATTACATAAAGCAGGTAGCAAAGTTTAAAGCAGAAAAAGCATCAAGCAGGAATATAATTCTGACATGAGACACTCAGACAGCAGTGTTTGGAATTTACAGACACTGCAGACAATTTTGTCTACCACACCAGAATTTTTTTGTTTTTTGTTTTTTTGTATTTGACAAATAAAAACTGGAAAATGACGATGTTTAAGTTGAGGACTTCTTTAATGTATTCTATAACTAAACAAAAACAAAAAAAAATGCAAATTTCAATAGGAACAATGCTAAAAAATTTGTCCGAAATCAACTTTTTATAATTAAATCACTGTTTATATTAAACAGACTGAAACTATATTATCAATATTGAATAAATACAACATTACATGCAGTTTTATGAATGAAAACATGTATTTTCACTTTCTAGAAGAATTTAGTTTTACACAGGTAAATTAATCAATGAGTGATATATTTCTCTTAGAAGAGGTTTAAAGGTCCCAGTGATAAAAGAAAGATTAGGTTTAGCTATTTTAGCTATTTTTGGAAAACAAGTTTTTTAACTATTTATCAAATCAAATATATCACGGATATCAAACAATACTGCACTCTTATCACAGTCTAGCATATAGAAATTTAAGTCTATTAGAATGTATTTATCATATTGTGAGTTAAGAGTTTATAACTAAAGACAGTATTAAAAATATTGTCTGACATATTTGGTGGTTTATAGGCACCACAGAAGAACCGTTTCTGTCCACCTGATGTTACCTCAACCCCAACTGATTCGATTTCTTTAAATTCTAGTCGTGTTTTCATATCTCCAGCTAGGTCTGATATCAAAAAGGCAAGAACACTACCCCAAATTGATTTCTATCTGATATTCATAAAGTTTAATTATCTACCATGAATAGCGCATCAGGGAAAGACTCGTCGATTTTGGTTTCTGACAGAAATAATAAATCAACCAAATTTCGTTCTAGTAAGTCTTTAAAATGCCCATGTTCATTACGTAGGCTGTTGATGTTTAGGTAGCCGCAAAAAAAAGAGTTTGAAAAATTAGGTAGCATGTATGTTTGGCAGTAGCAGCTTTCCACGGAAATGGAGTTTATCGTCCTCTGGAATCGATAATTTAATACATTTTATGTGGAACCAGAATTTACAATTTTCACACTGAATCCCCTCTTGGTTTAACTTCACGGGTTTTAAACAGCAAATACATAGATATTTTATGGGACATAGGTTTTGTGTGATGTCTCCACTCTGACTCAATAGGATTAAGATGGCTAGACCACTCCTAAATTTCTGAATTTAACAAGTTAAAAGTTTTGTTACTTTCGGTTTCGGCCATTTTAAATTTAAAACATAATAGCTTTTAGGAATTAAGTTTGTTTTCTTCATTTGTTGTTGCTTGCGTAGAAGCCTAGGTCTTCAACTCTGGTGTTTGGCTGTGTTAAAAGTTCTAGGCTCTTTCGTGTAAAACGTATAGTAATTCCAAAAACAACAAGAACCCATACCAGGGCACCATCTTTTCTAAAGGTTGCGTCTAAATTGGTAAAGTGTGAATGTAGTATCTAAAAAAGAAAACTTAAGGCACTAAGGCCAACCACTCATCTAATTTATTATGTTTTTTTTTAAATTGAAGTTCGAGTATGAAAATGTATTGAACAACCACACAACCCTTATTGGTAAATTGTTGCAAATTTAATTTATGACGTCATTATAAACAAAGAAACTCATTATTTAAACCTAAGGTAACATGTTTTATCAGAGAATTATCTAATTAAAAATCTAATTATGAATTAGAGAAAAAGAAGGTAGACATGCCGGTAGATTATTAATCTTTGCATATAAAAACTACATTATTCCTCAGGTAAGTTTTCTCTGAAAAGCAAGTTTTTCACAATTGATCCATGTAAAGTTATATCCCTTCTTAAAGGTTTGACAATTAATTTTCAATTAAATTTTTAGTTTCTGCTTTTTTATCCGAAACTTTATAGGCTTAAAAAGTAACTTAGTTGGACATTTCTGTGTATAAAACATCAACTTGTATTATAATTTTGTTTTGGAGGTGTTTTTTTTTCAAAGTACTTCTTAATGAAGTCGTTTGTAGATTTTCTGTCCCTATCTAATATACGGCCTCTATTACAGAACCTACTTATTGTTTTTATTGTTGATTTATTCTCATCTTGAACAGGAATGAAATATTTGCCACTAGACATTAGGCAACCAATATTCAATCAATCCTAATTATGTCTGCAAATTTATGATTGAACTTCAAAATGACAATTTCATGGTAGCTTGCCAGTGAAGGAGGTTGTTGGTTCAATTACTGGTTTTGTTAAACCAGAAACTTTAAAATTGGTATATGCTGCTTTGCTAAGAACGAGGTAAATGAGTAAAAGCAGACTGGTTCGCTTGGAGTCAGAATAATGTGTTTGGTTATTGTGACATCTTCCGGTGGCTTGTTACTTTGTAAACCAGCACCGTAAAAATATGGCTCAGTAAAACTGCTATCTGGGCTGACTTCTATTCTTCTGTGGTTAAATTACTGTCGGTGGTGTTAGATTCTAGAATCATCTGATAAACTAAGGACTCGCTGACATATCAACAGTTTTGTACTTGAAACATTCATGAATGGTAAGATATTAAAAAGATATTTTCGTTTTTTAGCCAATGGACAAGTTTGTCCACCTGGATGGGTTGATGGTCCTATGGGCAAGAAGTGCTACCTTTTTGCTGATAACCACCAAAGAAATTGGTTTGAAGCTAAATATGTATGTAATTCTATGCGGGCAGAGTTGTTATCAATTGAGGACTCCCTTGAAATGGTAAGTGAGATATATATATAAATAGGTTATGATCAATTAGGGCCCGCCTAGTGGCGAGTCGCCCTATAGTGATCAGTCTGTCTTACCGTCCGTCTGTCCACCCATCCGTTCGTAACAAATTGTGTCCGCTCTATATCTAGAGAACTGTTATAATTTCATACTTTATACTTGACAAGTATATTAACCAACACCAGAGGTTGTGTCATAATGTTTGTACAACTTCCTAGGACAAAGTTCAAGGTCAAAAACTTTGGTTTCAGTTGACAACCCCATGTCCAATAGATATAGTGTAAACTCTATATCTTAAGAACCGTTATGATTTCAAAGTTTATACTTGACATGTATATTAACCAACACCAGAGGGTGTGTCATAATGTTTGTTCAACTTCCTAGGTCAAAGTTCAAGGTCAAAAATTTCTGAAATTAAGGGTAAAGTGCATCCGGAGTACTGTTTAATAGCACATGTAACCTGCTTTAAGAGATTCAACCACTAACATCTTTAATAGTCAAATAGTAACCTGTTATTTACAGCGGGGCCCACAGAGATGGCTCCCATTTCAATGATGTCTAGTTTGTTTGGAAGGTACACTCATAAATGTTATGAGTCTAAGTTTCACTACTTTCAATTCATTAGGCCAAAAAAAATAAATTATAGTTATGTTCCTGCCTCCACTTACCCATTATGGACATATTTGCATTTAACCCCTAAGTCCCCTGAAATTTTTGGTTAAGTAGAGCACATCCTTTTTAAAGTTTCCAATATATATTACATATTTTGCAAAATTAAATTATTTTACCAACCTACCAATTTTTTCAAAGAACAAAGTTTATATATTGTTTTGTCCTTAACCTTGCTTGCTTGGTTATTAAACAAACAACAATTAATCTTGCTATTCCATACATGCAGACACGGTATGCTTTTACTTTAAAAGTATTTTTTTTCTATAATGTAATGTTGTGTAAATGTCTCATGAATGCTTGTTTCCCCCCACATTGTTTTTATATCTAAATTAGTCCTGCATTGCATCATATTTGAAAATATATTTGAAATTATTTGTCATAATTATAATGACAAGTTGTTAAGATCCTGAACTGTGTCATTAATAAAATGAAAAACAACTCTTAGTAGTACAAATGATACACATTACATTTGACAAATAAACTGTTGTTATCATGTTTGTCAACATTCTTAACAAATATATTAATCATACTGATTTAAAATAGACATTGTTACTGACACATTTTAAAATAGTTTGGGAATGGAATAAAAAAATAAACAAATAAATATTTATATGAATAAATGTTCATAAACTTACCCAAAAGGTAAATACAAATTAAAATAAAATGTTGTAAAAATGCCAATATTTAATATTCTGGGTTACATAATTTATTTTCACCAATGATGATCGATGGTGAAACCGATGCAACTCAGAACATAAAATACATCTGAATCACAATACTTTTGCGTGAATCGCAATGGAAACTGCCATTGAATATTCATGAGAAGAATGTATTGCAACATAATGGCACTTTGGATTATATAAATCTTGGAAATTTCCTAGTCTCCTGGAAGGTCAATTTATGCGGGATGGTTTCAAAGAGTAAAATGTTTTATTTACGATTTTTTATTCATGACAAGCAAGTGTGACATATATTGTTGCTTAAATATACGGTAACCAGAAATTTATTATAGACTAGTCCTGGTCCTCAGCCTTAAGAACTATTCAGTCCATGTACAGTTTGAGAACCTGTTTCATTATGGCAGTGTTTACTTTTTAGGATTGCTTATTAAAAATAAAGCTGATTAATTTTAATGTTGCCCATGACAACATAAAACAAATCTATCTAATTTTCACATAAAGATATTGGATCCAGGCAACATCTTATTTTGCTAAATGATACTTGCTTATGCAGTTCTACGGTTTAAGTGAATCAAGTATAGTAAAGTAATCAGTCTGCTTTTGGAATGCAGAAAGATACCATCTGCTGTGTTACTATGAATAGAAATCTTTTATTAGTTTCATTTAAAAGTTTTTTTGAATTCATGTAATTGTTTCTATTTTACTAAACAATATATGTGCTCTTGAAATGTTTTTCATAGATATTTGACATTAATTATTTAAAAACTGATCTATTCATCGAAGGACTAATTATTAGGACATTGGCAGTTTCAAAAACAATGTTTGCTAAAATAAACTATCTATCCTATCCTGTCATAAAAAAAAACACACTGTAGTAAACGAGTAGGTTCATGAAGGGTTCATATTGGCCCTAAAATTGCGTGAAATTTAACTTGAGTAAATTTGAAGACAAAACATGTAAAAATATCTGACAACTACAAATTCGACAGACATTAGAACAATTGTGATGTCATTATGACGTTATAATTGTAAATCTAACGAAAAAAATCAAAATTTTGACTTTTTTTTGCCTAAATGTAATAGATTTGCTTCAAATGACATTGGCATCATGCAAGAACCACAATAATTTTTGTTAAGATGTGTATTTGACCCAAATACATCATTTTATAACAATTTTATTTTGGTCAAAGGGTGTGGGCCAATGTTTTTAAGAAGGAAATACACCTTACCAAAAAAAAAACAAAAAAAAAACACCCGGAGAAATTTGACTAAAAACTTGAAAAATATAATACTTATGGAGTTGTCAACATTATTAAACGAATAACAGTAAAAAAGTGGTAAGTGTATCTAAATTTGCATATTTAAAATGTAAATAAAGGTTTTTATATGCTTGCCTAAGAGGTGACGTATTATGGTATACCGTTGTCGGTCTGTCTGTCTGTTGTCAGCACTTCGAACAATAACTAAAAAACGCCTTCAACAATTTTCAAGAAACTTTGGTGAATTGTTTATATCAATTTATATATATCCTTTCTATTTTCATAATATTTTTATTTTAATTTTCTATAACTCATAAGATGCTTTGAGCAATTTTTATGAAACTTTGGGGAATTGTTATTATACATGTTATATATTTACCTAAGTTCCTTTATGATTTGGAGTATTGGGACTTTATTTTTTTTAAAAAGGGGGGTTTCGTGTTTTCGTACAATAACTCAAAAATTCTTTGAACAGTTTTCATGAAACCTTGGTGACTTGTTTATATCTATTGAAACAAGCCCCCTTGGTTTTTTTTTATAAATTTCTCATATAACATTGCGGTGTGATGTAACTTTATTCGTTAAAAAATCGTTGCAAATTGTCCATTTTTGCCACTTTGGACATTTCTCGAATTTTATTTTGTTAAAAATCGTGTTGTGAACAAAATAGAAATGTAGAGGTGAAAAAGTAAGGCCACAAACTTAATTTAACTTGAGTTAGCCTTAATAGTGTCAAATTATTCATGTTTTGTGTCAATAGGTATCACTGTGTGTGCATGTCTTTATTTTTTTTTGGTGGGGGGTCTATTGGAGCAGTGCTCACAGTATTTCTAGTTGATCATATAAATTCATTTAAAGCATAAAGACATGCTAAAAGGGCGACGGGCATATCATGCTCTCATATCACAGCTCTTTATTATATATGATATTACAAAGTTTGATTTTTATGGCCAATTTAAGGATTTCTTGGCCATATTCCTTTAATTGTAAAATCTTAGTAAAAGACAAATATGAAAAGTGGAATTGTTAATTTGTTTATTTTCCATTTGATCCTACTGCTTATTTTTTTTTTTATTGAAGAGAATTTTTTACTCAAAATGTAGACCATGGCATTGTGTAGCATCGTCAATTTTTTATCTATCAATAAATGAATGTGACGTCATTCATATAACCGAATAATAACTTTATACGCATACAAAGATTTTCTTTTAAATACTTCATGTAATAATATATAATTATAGATTGAGAAATATGTTTTAAAGACAAATTGCTGATAAAAAGAATAATGGCATTTATATTTTGATAAAGTCGTCAAAAACAAAAATGCCTTTATTCTATAGATATTCTGTTACCAGGCAAAGGAAGAATGATCACTACTGTCGTCTTGTATTGCCAGTGTTAGCATCACACTTTATAAATCACCAACTCCTTGAAAACAAAACCAAACTAGCACAGCTTGTGGCTCACCTTTTCCATGGAAGATTAATATGTTATTTTTTCCATTGAAGGCATGGATTAAACAAGAACTGAAGAGAGTAAAAGCACAGGTAACTGGTACTTCAGAATGGTGGACCAGTCTACAAAAGAATGGAACAGTTTGGAACTGGAGTAGTAATATTGCATTAGATGACACTGTTGTGTAAGTGTATAGCAGGTATTCTGAAAACACAGTTGACCCTTTTTTGTTCTTTTTTAACTATGAACATCTTTATTTTTGTCTTGCCTGCGACGATTTTGTCGCTGACGGCGAAACATAGGTGTTGATTCTGTGGCAACGGTGTCGTCTTTGCTGCCGTTGTGGTCAACAATTGTTAAGTTTGATAGGAACTACATGTGATAGATCATGATATTGTCTATAAAGTTGCATTACCATCAGTACATCTCAGTTTGAGGACTGTTTCGAGGCCCTGACCCCTAGGTCACATCTTCGCTAGCCGAAGGTTACGACCAATTGCCCTCCTCCACTTTTGGCGGATAGAGATAGAATTTAGGATCCACAAGGTAACGATTTCCATTTGTCGCAGTTGTAACTGGCTACATTCAATCAAAAAGCATCTTTAAGATGATCACGTGTAAATGTAAAAAATATAAATGAACAATTGCCGGGTGCTGATTTTGCATTTGTTATTGACTAAGGTTTTTTTTAAAGATATAGCATTAACATTTTTTTTATTATTTTCAGACGCTGGGGTTCAGGTGAACCCAATAATTATCAGAACAAGGAACATTGCGCAGAAATCTGTTGCCCACATTTCTTAAATGATATCAATTGTGAAAAAAGGATCAATTATATTTGTGAACTTGATAAAGGTATGTTATACATTTATGATATCTGTTGGGATTAATGTTTCACTAGCAATCATACCACATAACTTTAGTTTAACAATGATAGAAGTAATCCTACCGAAGGCAAAAAACCTATTCAGTACCGATATCTTTTTTTTGGGGGATCATTTGTCTCATTTGGGGTACTGTGGATTTATTTATTTTCGTAGGTACAAATTTTTGTGTATTGAGGAAAAAGTGTGTATTCGTGGATACTTGATTTCATGGTTTTGACAAAGTCTTCATACAAGCCTCTAAGAAATTTGTACTTTGTTGAACACATTAATTTCTGGTTCATAAATACCCATGAAAACCACGAAAATTTGTACCTCATGAATAATAATGAATCCACAGAAATTCATCTATTGTCATCATTTGAAGTTGTTGTCTGTTAATCCATCTAAGATGCACCAAATATGACAGATTGGTTCCTTGTTGGGTAATTAAAAGTGTTGATAATTTGGTCGTTACATTTGCAAAACAATAATCTAATGCACCTTGAGTTTCATGTGACCATTAAACATTATTTCACTTTTCCATGTTTACCTATTTTTCAGTATCAACCATTTGATAATTGTTAACTTGTCTGAAACATGCATGACATATTTGCTACTGGATATAAAGTTCAAATCATATAACAAATATATATGTCTTGAATATAGAAAAAAGAAACAAAATTTAGGCAGCTAGGTCACAGTAACAATACATGTTTATGCATGGTTAAGAGACTCTTCAAATAGAAAGTATGGTTCATCTTTCAACACTTAGAGCTTAAGTGCATTTAAGGTCATGGCTTTAGGTTATTAGTCATGATAAAAATCAGTTCATGTATTGACCTTTTCCATAAGTTTATGATTCATAGACTAAATATAAACTGGAAAAATTGGGCCTGCCAACATTTGACAATTGTATCAATATGTTAAATTTTTCAGTCAATATATTTGTCATATCAGTCCATATTTGAGTGCATTATACTGAAGTTAGGCTGAAGTTATATTATAAACAATAAATATTTGTGTATTACTCTTTTCAAATTTAGACTTGACCCCATATATCATTATCTCTGTAGAAGATTCTTAGTTGGCCTGTTGCACGACAAATTTTCTGCCCATATCAAACATACCCTATTTTTATTGGCAGTCTGAAATTTCATGCCTTTCATCCTGTTTGGCCTACCTTGCGGAACCTGCCTTTTGTATAAATTGTCAACTTGTTCTCGACTTGATTGTGCATGAAATATTTGCCACTGGATGGTAAGCAGTAAACAACCAGTAATCAACCTTATACTGAAAGTTCAAAAATTGTTGAAAAGTTTTTATAATTGTGAAAATTGCGAAAAAATAGGTTTTGCAAAAATAAAAAAAACTTGCATTATAATTTGGATAGCATTATTTGCATGCAGCATTTCAATGTGTCCATTTTTCAACAAATGCATGCAAAATATACTGAATTTACATATATGAGTAAATTAATTTTTTTAGAAAAGGTATGCTAACAAGTGTTATTCAATTGTTAATCAAAGACATGCAAATGAATCTGTTGATTGATTGATTGATTATTTGTTTGTTTAAAGTCTAGTGGCAAATATCTCTATTTAATGTACAACTTGTTGAAAAAAGATCAGATTTTGTACGTTTTTAGCTCAAGTGTGAGCTTTTGCCATCACTTGGGTCGGAGTGAATAGTAATCATAATTCCATAACAGCTTGTCAACAGTTAGGTTCAATCTGTGGTTAAAGTTATCTTAGACATCAATAATTTTGTCCAACTTTCATGGAATTTTATGAAACTTAGAAAGAAGCTTCTCTGTGATCAAGAAACAGCATCCAGGGCAAAATTTTGATAATTTTTTTATTTTTCAATATTTTTATTGATATATTCCCTAACTATATGTGTTTGCGGTAACGTTAAAATAGTCTATTGTATAAGTTTTTCAGACATCAATAATTTTCACAAACATTTATGGAATTTTCTGAAACTTGGTCAGAAGCTTCTATGTAATGAAAAGATAGCATTTGGATTAGGTTTGAAATTGTGTTTTTTTTTTTTATTTTCCTTACTTCACTGAAAAATGGACTAATTTGGCATTTAACATTTATAAGCAGTCTCAAGTTTGTTTTTGTCATCAATAATTTTTTTCTATTAAGCTATTACTAAATTCTTCATAATCAAAAGATATTACACTAAACAATTTTTTTAGTCTCATTATTCTGCATTTTACTGATAAATCAACTTAGTTTATTGCCAATAAACATTGCACTTTTCCACAGACAGCAGCAGTTGCAGGCAGACACATGGTTCCACAGAACCCACTACAAATGTTCTCTCCTTCAGAGTCGTGTAAAAAAATTTGCTGGTGACTATAATGTTCAGGATTTTATTGAACTAATGCATGTATATATAAAACAAAACTATATCTTCTGTGGACGTTTCCATTTGTTTGTCATTACTTTGTTGTTGAATGATTTAGTGTAAAAACTTTTTCTTTCATAATCAATTAATACTATCTTCCATCAACATTTGTTTGCTCTTGCCTCCATCAAAGCTTTTCCCTTCAAATTTGCGCTGTGCAATAGCTGATTCTTTAATGAGGGGTCATGGTTAGGTCACTGCATACAGAAAAGCTGTCGGTGAATTAAGAGTACTGGATGACAATATTTTGATAGCAATACATTTCTGAAAATTTGAATCAGATAAAAAGATAAAAAGAGTCTATGTACACATGTTTTATATAGTAAAACATAGGCATTCAAGTATAAAAGACATATTCTAATATGACGTTCTTCTTTTGCTTTGTAAACAACACCGTGATAAAATTCTCGATATGTCTATACTTACAGTGCAGACTAAGAGATGTACATACTAATGGCTGTTACAATATACCTTCAACGTAAATCCACATGTATAGTAACCTATGTGCAAACGCTATGCCGATATACTGTCATATGTTAAAAATTGCAATTGAAAAAAAACAGAACCTTTATTCTTATTCTGATGCATAACAAAAATAATTAATGCATTAGAGCTTGGTAAATTGTACGAAATCAACATAGAATAAAATTCCGCGAAATTCCATTAATGCTTTTGGCGCATGGAAGTAATTTCAAAACACGAAGTCATACGAATGAAAACGCCAAAGCTGAAGGTTTTTCAGTCGCGTTAACCCTCAAAATTCGGAAAATATTGCATTAAAATGGAGTTTTGAGGTTGGTGTTGTTTTATTTTCTATTTTATTGCATTATTCGCACATTTGCTGATTTCAGCAAGTCAACATGGCGGCTCCTTAGTTACAAAATGTCAACTGTGGATTTGACGGTAGACAATACGAAAAAAGTATAAATTAAAAAAGGCAAATATTGGGGTTGAGAATTAAAAGAATTACACACATTTTTTGTCTAGTGGTTATTTAAGAAGTAATTCATGCAAGCTATAGATTTATTAGAAAATGTTAGTTTTATCAACAGGGGGTAAAATAGAACAGTTACACACACGGCATACACACCCTCGCTTCAGTTTTTTTTATCTCTCGCTAACGCTAAGGATAAATTCGAATATCACGGCCCAGGCCGTGTAAATTTCCAACAAATCTATGGCTTCCATGAATCATTTCTTAATTCATCTTTTTTGTTTAAACTTAAGTATTGATATTTATATTGACTATCTTTTAAACATCTATACTGAAAAGTGTGGAATGTAAGGCTGTGCATGTTCTTCTTTCCAGTAGTGAAGATAGATTGTTTCAGATTATAATACTTTAAACCAATAATTTTGAAATATTGATATGTCAATTTTTTAAATCAATTATTTACTGGATTTCTCTTTACATGCATCTTTTCCCATTTATTTCCATTAAAAACTACATGATGAGATTAACATAAACAGTTTTCTGGTAAATATTTAACATTTGTTAATCTTATTATTTTTTTTCCAGAGACAAATCCATTGACCTGTGATGCAGATAATGGATGGGAGTACCACCAGGGATCATGTTATAAATTTGTCCAAAAATTCAAGACGTGGAATCAGTCAGCGTAAGCATTTAAAAGTCGATAATAAAAGATATTATTCCACTGTAGCTTAATCAATATTTGATTGATTGAGACTATTCCATGTGACATTGAACAAAACTTCACATTCCTTCTCAACACAGGGAGTTTTTACCTCATGCGACATTATGCACGATTAATGAACATAAAGGTTTGAATTTTTTAAATAGCGATACATGTAGTATAGTTATTATAGTGTTAAAAACATTAAGATCAATGATAACTAATTTTGATCGATACTGTTTAACAATGTTTGTCGTGTTAACTTGTAAAAACAATCGGATAAGAAAAAAATGTATGTAAATCAATAGTTTATATTCTGGAAGTAGTAAAAGTATAGGCAGTGGAATAAAACATTAATTTCCCTTGTCTAAGGGAGATATGAAGATTTGTTCACCCTCGAAAAGTCATATTTTCCTCAGGCGATGCCCTCAGGATATATGAATTTTCTTGGGTGAACAAATTTTCATATCTCCCTAAACCAAGGGAAATGAAACAAAAAAATGGCTGAAAAATATTCAATGAGTGACCAAACAACACAATAGTTCACAAATGTATATATATTTGAAAAGTAAATTTGTATGTTGCAGTGACTATTAATTTAACGTATGAAGAATATTGAAGGAACTACTGTGGATTCATTATTATTTGTTGGATACCAGTTTTGTGGATTTTGTTGGTAGAGGTAAACCATGAAGTGTTCAACAAAATACAAATTATATATAGGGTTGTATGCACCCTTTGGCCTAACCATCAAACCTAGTGTTTAACAAAATACAAATTATATATAGTGTTGTATACACCCTTTGGCCTAACCATCAAACCTAGTGTTTAACAAAATACAAACTATATATAGGGTTGTATGCACCCTTTGGCCTAACCATCAAACCTAGTGTTTAACAAAATACAAATTATATATAGGGTTGTATGCACCCTTTGGCCTAACCATCAAACCTAGTGTTTAACAAAATATAAATTATATATAGGGTTGTATGCACCCTTTGGCCTAACCATGAAATCAAGCGTTCAACAAAATACAAATTATCTATAGGGTTGTATGCAGACTTTTGTCTAACCATGAAATCAAGTATTCAACAAAATACAAATTATCTATAGGCTTGTATGCACCCTTTGGCCTAACCATCAAATCAAATATTCAACAAAATACAAATTATCCATAGGGTTGTATACATCTACTTAGGCTTAACCACTAAATCAAGTGTTCAACGAAATACAAATTATCTATAGGGTTGTATGTAGACTTTGGATTAACCATGAAATCAAGTGTTCAACAAAGTACAAATTATCTATAGGGTTGTATGTAGACTTTGGCCTAATCATCAAATCAAGTGTTCAACAAAATACAAATTATCTATAGGGTTATATGCACACTTCGGCCTAACCATCAAACCTAGTGTTTAACAAAATACAAATTATCTATAGGGTTGTATGTAGACTTTGGCCTAACCATAATCAAGTGTTTAACAAAATACAAATTATATATAGGCTTGTATGTAGACTTTGGCCTAACCATCAAATCAAGTGTTCAACAAAATAGAAATTATCTATAGGCTTGTATGTAGACTTTGGCCTAATCATCAAATCAAGTGTTCGACAAAATACAAATTATCTATAGGCTTGTATGTAGATTTTTGGCCAAACCATAAAATCAAGCGTTCAACAAAATACAAATTATATATAGGGTTGTATACACACTTTGGCCTAACCATGAAATCAAACGTTCAACAAAATACAAATTATCTATAGGGTTGTATGCAGACTTTTGTCTAACCATGAAATCAAGTATTCAACAAAATACAAATTATCTATAGGCTTGTATGCACCCTTTGGCCTAACCATCAAATCAAATATTCAACAAAATACAAATTATCCATAGGGTTGTATACATCTACTTAGGCTTAACCATTAAATCAAGTGTTCAACGAAATACAAATTATCTATAGGGTTGTATGTAGACTTTGGATTAACCATGAAATCAAGTGTTCAACAAAGTACAAATTATCTATAGGGTTGTATGCAGACTTTGGCCCAACCATGAAATCAAGTATTCAACAAAATACAATTTATCTATAGGGTTGTATGTAGACTTTTGCGTAACCATAAAATCAAGTGTTCAACAACACACAAATTATTTTTAGTGTTGTATGTAGACTTTGGCCTGACCATGAACTCAAGTATTCACCAAAATACAGTTGATCCATGAATATTGCTACCCATGAAAAATAAACAATTCCACATATCATGCACTCCAGATGCAGCTGCTTATTTAATATGTTGAATGAACTAAACAAATTTTGTCAATCATTTCTCCAGCACTACAAAAGAAAGACTTCAAATTTGGTCAACAGCTTGGCATAATTAGTTGTAACGTGTGAGTTCTTTTCATGTGTGGGTGGCATCTGCTTCCTGTTATCTGATACTTTGTATTATAATTGGAAGAATGAATAGCATAACAATGCTTACATTTTGTTTGCATGCAGTTATTTTTATTGTGTTTTAGCTTTACCTTATATGTTTTATTTTACAGATTAGACTGTAAAGATTTAGACTCTAACCTGGCAGCTGTTGCAGATACTGGTCCCCTACATGCAGTTTCTACAATATCTAGCTTCCAACAGTACGATTCCTGGGTTGGAATTATAAGGAAATACAAGGTAATAAACAGTAAATATTTTTACCGCCCTGAACTTATACTGTATAACCCTTACATTTCAAAAAACAAGATGGTATTTCAAAATTTGATGTTTACCAGGGGAGAAGAATGTATACATTGTATGACTGTTCAATTGGTGTTTCATAAATTAGGTATTATTTTCATGTACAGATACAACAATCAGGCAAAACACATATCACATTGAAAGCTTTAAATAGCCCAGAAATGACAAAATGTAAAACGATTCAAATATGAAAGCCGACTGCCTAATTTATGAACACAACAACAAAAGAAAAAATAAACATGACAAACAACTGCCACTGAATGTTCATTACCCTGAATTGGGACAGACACACACAGAATAAGATGGGGTTATAGATGTAAACAAATTCATTTAAAGGAGTTTGCATTCCCTTGATTGCAGTTTCATAGTCAATTGACTTTAAGGGGCATTAGCTACAAATAAGACAATTCATTCAAATATAATTTTTTGGGGTTCCAAACATTTATTAAAATAATATTTCACTATTACCAGTTACTTTAAGTCCATTTTGTCAAAATAAGCTTGAAAACATCTCTGATATATTATTTGCAAGTCAATAATTCAACTTCTTTTGAATTTGTTTTCATGCAACCTTGAATTTAACCCATAGTGGAGATGGGCTGCCCATGTGTTAATCATTTGATCAGCATGTTCACTCATTAAAAAAATGTCAACATTGAAAAGTGAGCCACCAGGAATAACCATTTCCTTAACTGATCTAGGCATGAACAAAATCTTATAACGGTAAAATGATGATTTACATATATTTCAAATCTTTTACTTGAGATAAAACAGACATAGACCATTCATCATTATACAATTCCCCGTGCTTGTCAAGACATAGACAATTCATCATTATACGATTGCACGTGCTTGTCTGTCTATCTAAATTTATATTTATGTTAATTTTGGGTTAAATGACCATCAGTCTTCAGAGGTCTTCTTGACAGATAATTAGATGGTGCCCTTTTAAAAAAGAGTAGTATGTATGTAATAGCCTAGCAGAAACTATAATATGCAAGCTTTAGCGAAAAAAAGTACATATCAACATTTAAAAAAATGTTGTCTGTTTAAATATGTCTCTAAATCAGAACTAAATGTTTTTTTTCAGACATTCTTTTATACAAATTCCTCTGAAGCTATTGGAATTGATAGTTATATACAGCCAAGTAAAACAACAGAGTAGGTATAATTGCCTCAGTTATTGCACATCTTCCCTACATAGTTTGTGGTTCATCTAAAGATCTTACAAGTTTATGGAGTTTGAATCATTCATGAATACACCATTTTCCTTCTTATATAATTCATCTTAGAATTCCTAAGGGCAGTATGACCCATATGAACAAAAAGAGATGTAAGAAGTTCCTCCATTATTATGACAGAAACAGTAACTTCAAAATGCTCCAATTTCTTATTCAATGTATTTGTTTGGGAAATCACAGCCAAAAATTAGAATGATCTACCCTGCAACGTTGGATATGGCTAGCCAATGATTAATGGCTCCATTGCTTTTTATACTATATACTTCAGTTTAAAGCAAGAACTATTTTTGCTTAAGTTTGAATAAAGTGACAATAATTTCATGTCAAAACAACATCTTATTGTTGCTTGTGCTAAAATAAATCCAGAAAGCTTAAATTGCATTGAGCAGCATACTAGTACTTTGAACTTAGGATGTACCAAAAACAGGAACTTCTGATCAGTGTCTGAGAAACAGGTTAAATATGCCCTACAATTACATTACAAAATAACCAGTCATAAAGCATCTACCATTGCGTTTTCAGTTTATCATTGACTTAAGACTTTGAATATTCCTTTGGTAGTGTTTCCATCTCTTCTACAATGATCCCAAGTCAGTTTTCATTTGATACCAAATTAAGCAATGTATTCTGCATATTTTGAATGTTACACCTATGATTAGGTTATACAATTTTGCTTTTGAATATGTACTACACACTGGTATTTTCTTCTTGACTGGGTCTCATTAAGTGGTTCTACAACTTAAAACTACCAGTTATGACGTAACTGTATATTTACTATTAACAACAACTAATTCAGTTGTTTAATGTTTTATTTCAGTAATTTTGACCCTGCCTGTTTGACTATAAACAGTACAGTTAAGGATGCAGCAAAAGGCCTGTATCCTGATAGCTGTACAACTCCGAAACCATACATCTGTCAAAAGCCTGAAGGTATGTCTGAACATTTAAACTCCAAGCATTTATATAGCTTTTAAGGGTAAAGGTGCTTCATTTTTATTTCGGGGAGATGTTTGGTTGACAAATGGGATAGAAATTATGTCCATCAATTAAAAATTGTGAACTGTAAACAGGACCAAGATATCATCTGGTATTCACACATTTTGTTTGGAAAAATACTCATTTTGACATTGAATAAAATAATTGAGGGTAAAATACAAAATTTCTTTTCACTTGACTAGGGGACTTGCAAAATGGTATTCCTTTAGTGTAGTGATTGTCCCGAAACACCTTAGGGCATCACTGACTAGTTATTGTATTATCTCGTGTGGCCCAATGCAATAACTATTTCAGAAATCAGATTTATTATAAAGTATATCAGGTTTCCTCCTCAATGGTATCACCAGCCCAGTAGTCAGCACTTCTGTGTTGACATGAATTATCATTATATATTAACATAATACTAAGGATTTTTTACCCAGGAATAGACTATCTTAGCTGTATTTGGCACAACTTTTCAGAATTGTTTGGTTATCAATGCTCTTCAACTTCGTAGTTTATTTGTCCTATTTCAATTTTTTTTATTTGAGCCTAACTGATGAGTCTTTTGTAGACTAAACGCAAGTCTGGCGTGCAAAATGTTAACCCTGGTATCTATGATGAATTTACTTTACTGATACAAACATTTATTTATAGTAAATGTTGGAATCAGTAGAACAAACTAAGCTTATAACTATTAATAAAGTATAATAAAGAGTATCTTTACAGGAGTATGTAAACCTGGATATCAACAGCATCAGTCAATGTGTTACTATCTGTCGTACACAGAACAGAACAGAACTGGTGCTGAAACACTTTGTAAAGCCATGAAAATGTCAGTGGTGGACATTACTAGGTGAGTTTATGCACTACTTAACAAGTTAACTTTGTTTTCCAACCAATTCCTTTAGATCAACTTATTCGTGTCCATTCAAGACGTATCTTTCTTTTTTTTTAGAAACATTGATTATAGTAACTTATCTCCCTTTAACAGTATATTCAGCTTGTAAATATTTTGATAAAACAATGATAGATCAATAGATTTTTGGTGTTAACGCCATTCAGCACAATTGGCTATTTTGTGGCAGTAAGTTTTTATTGAAGGAAGCCAGAGTGCCTGAAGGAAAACTAACAATCCTAGGTGAAAAAGATTGGAGTCTAAAGCACCTGCCTTGTGCGAATTTAAAACTCAGAACCTAAGTGTTGACAAGCTAGAAATATAGTAGTTGAACTACTAAACCATACAGCCACTGAGGCCTGATATAACAGAGAAACAGTGTGCCCACTTCATAGGCAGGGTAAACAATCTTGAAATTGGCCATTTCTGTGTTCCAATGTTGATTGGTTGAAAATCAAAATTAACAAGAGCTGTAGTGTTTTTATCTGACAAAAGACATAGGGAGCTTATCTCATCATTTTTCATCCATCGTCTGTCGTCGTTAACTTTTACAAAAATCTTCTCTTCTGAAAGTACTGGGCCAAATTTAACCAAACTTGGCCACAATCATCATTAGGGTATCTAGTTTTAAAAATGTGTCCAATGACCCTGCTTGCCAACCAACATGGCCGACACAGCTAAAAACAGAACATAGGGGTAAAATGCAAGTTTTGTCTTTTAACTTGAAAAACGCTATGAATAGAGAAAATCTGACAGGGGCAAAAATGTTCAGAATGATGAGATCTACATATTGTCTACTTACTTCGAAACTGTCAGACGACATCTTATATGAGTTATTGCCCTTAAATGACAAATTTTATCAAATTTTTCATTTTTGCCTAATATCTGAAAAACTATAATAGATAGGGAGAAATTTTATTACAAAAAATTTATCAACAAGACAAGATCTACAAATAATTCCACATGGTCGAAATCATCAGACGACTCATTATTAGAGATATTGCCCTTTAAAGATTATTATATTTTTTTTGCCTTTTGCCCAATATCTGAAAAACTATTATAAATAGATAGAAACTTAAATAAGCAAAAGTGATCAGCAAGACATGATCTACAAATAAGTTAAAGTTCTGAAATCGTCTGACAACCCCTTATTGGAGTTATTGCCCTTTGAAAATGATTTTTATCATTTTTTGCGTTTTTATACGGGACCTTTTATGAAATACTGTTGTCCGTCCGTCCGTCTGTTCGTCCGTCCGTCGTCAACATGTCGGACAATAACTCAAAAATGCTTAACCAATTTGCATGAAACTTTAAAGAATTGTTTATATCTATTGACCTGAGCTCCCATTCGATTTTTATAAATTTTAGAGTTTACGTTTCCAAGTTATGGGGTTTTATTCATTAAAAAAGGGGGATTTTCCACTTTTCGGACAATGCACAAAAATTCTTTGAGCAGTTTTCATGAAACTTTGGTGAATTGTGTATATCTATTGACGTAAGCTCCTTTTTCGATTTTTATAAATTTTAGTTTTCACGTTTCCGAATTATGGGATTTTATTCATAAAAAGGGGTGATTTCCAGTTTTCGGACAATACCTTTAAAGTGCTTTGAGCAGTTTTCGTGACTGGTTTACTTCTATTAAACTAACCTCCCTTTAGTTTTTTTGATAAATTTCTAAAAGGACATTGAGAAGTTATTGAACTTTATTCTTTGAAAAAGCGACGGGCGTATCATGCGCTTATGGCGCAGCTGTTTAATGCCTAATATCTGAAAAACTATAAAAGATAGATAGAAACATAATTCAGTAAAATTGATCAGCCAGACTTGATCTACAAATAAGTCTAATAGTGGAAATCATCAGTCGACTACTTGTAGGAGTACTTGCTCTTTAATGACGATTTTTACCAATATTGTACGTTTTTGCCTACTATCTTGCAAACTATAAAAGATAGATAGACACTTTAAATAGCAAAAATGATCAGCAAGACAAGATCTACAAAAACGTAAATTTTTTTTTAAAACTGTTGGTTTACTCTATATAGCAGTGATAGCCTTAAGTGATATTTTTATTACTGTTTTTTGTGTTTTGGGCAAAAACTAAAGAAAATAGAGAGAAACTGTCAACAGAAAAAATTATAATCAATACAAGATCAACAACAACAAAAAAAAAAAGAAAAGATTTTTGTCAGGAATTTTATTCTTGTCCACAATGTTGGAGGGATTTCATTGTTGAAGACGTCATAGACCTAGGTGAGCGAGACGGGATCTTTAGAGCCTCTAGTTTAAAAACCGTGACGGTCCACATTTTCATTTTCATCCTAGAAATGTTTGTGGCCTTGAAAGTTCATCATTGTATTTTCTTAAGGCAGCAGACATATGTTAAAAGGGCACAACTCTCAAAAATCAATGGAATGTCTAAATCAACCGTTTTCAATAACCAGTTACAGATCAAGTTTGAATTATGTTCCGGACTGATGATTTTGTGCAGAGTTATGGTCCTTGGACTTCGAAAATTCATGCAAATAATCAGTTATCCACACATTTTTTTGTTATGCTTGAAGATATTGATTGGATATTTGGTATATATTTTAACCATGACAAGTAACAGATCAAGTTCAAATTTTTTTCGGTTCAGATGATTTTTTTGCAGAGTTATGGTCATTGGACTTAGAAAATTCATGCAAATAATCAATTTTCCACCCTTTTTTTCGTAATGCTTGAAAATATTGATTTGATATTTCTTGTTAAATTTATACCATGACAAGTTATAGATCAAGTTAGCATTTAACCGGTAGGGGACTATGTTTTGCCATGCAATACTCTCAGACTTGTGTAAGTTCTGTTTCACATGAATTCCTAAAAAGCCTTTTCAATCTGAATATTAAAAAACTACTGAATAATCTGGTGAATACTTGTGTCAATGGCAATCTTACCACTACTCATTATTTTTTAAAAGTGTTATCTTTCTTAACAAATGTGTATTCCCTTAAAAGACTAGATTGATCAAGTCTTGGAGACTAATTTAAAATCAGTTTGACCTCAGAAATGTAGCATAAAAAAAGTAAAATCACAAAAATACCGAACTCCGAGGAAAATTCAAAACGGAAAGTCCCTAATCAAATGGCAAAATCAAAAGTTCAAACACATCAAACGAATGGATAACAACTGTCATTTTCCTGACTTGGTACAGGCATTTTCTAATGTAGAAAATGGTGGATTAAACCTGGTTTTATAACTAGCTAAACCTCTCACTTGTATGACAGTCGCATTAAATTTCATTATATTGACAATAATATGTGAACAAAACAAACAGACATAATAGGTAAAAATGTCAAAATAGGGGTACAACAGTCAACACTATGAAAACAAACAAATATGTAACACATAAACACAAAAAGGCATATATTGATATTTTATAGTATGTCTTTCTATATTGTGATGTTACACTATTGTTTCAGATAAGGGTGAAGGTTTGGTACTATTAAAACGTTCAAACCCGCTGCAATTGTTTGCACCTGTCCTAAGTCAGGAATCTGATGTTCAGTAGTTGTCGTTTGTTGATGTGATTCATAAATGTTTCTCGTTTCTCGTTTTTTATACAGATTAGATCGTTGGTTTTCCCGTTTGAATGGTTTTACACTAGTAATTTTTGGGGCACTTTATAGCTTGCTGTTCGGTGTGAGCCAAGGCTCCGTGTTGAAGACCGTACTTTGACATACAATGGTTTACTTTTTAAATTTTGACTTGGATGGAGAGTTGTCTCATTGGCACTCATACCACATCTTCTTATATCTATATAGACAAAGCACATAAGCAAAAATGAAAGACAAGAAGAATACAAAAAATTACCGTAGCACAATAACACAATGACGGGATGTATAAGTACCGAGCCACGTCAAATGAATAACATCAAAAATAGATAAAACAGTAAAAGTAATATTCAAAAAGACAAATAAAAGAATACTATAACACGTTATTAAGATGATAAACAACGTCAGTACCCAGAATCTATACTTCAAGACCATCGTGTATTATTTGTGAAGTTGATACGGAATATTTATCAACAAGGTCTTGATATCTTCCGATGAACTTTTTTAGAAAATGGACGAGACGTTCTTTGACATACCCCTGGTTCATCAACTTTCTGCTCAGACACTGGTGACATTTTACAAAGTCTGATTAGCAGCTGCAAGCTCTTGAATACCGAATAAGTTGAGAAATGTATATCCCATATGCAGGTGAAGAGGTATACTGCTACTAAGGTGCGGGAAATTGATAATTTCAAAATTAAAATCTTCTCGTTTGTCATAGACTGGTACTGAGATGACCGTGTAGGTCAAATCGAGGTAAAAGTCTAAAAATGAGGCGGAGGAAGCCGTGTCTGTTGTTTCATTAATTTCTAGTTCTGGGGGATATATTAATGGAACTCAATTAGAAAAGTTTGGATTGTTAATGGAAAAAACATCATCAATATATCTGAATGTGAAATTAAATGACTTGGCTTTTTTGATCTTCTTGTTTTTGACAAGTGTCTGAAGGAACTCCAACTCATATGAAAGGAGAGGCGCACAGTTCGTTTCCATAGAAATGCCGAAAAATTGTTGAAAAAGTCTACCTCCAAATTCAAAAAATATGTTGTCAATAAGAATCTCTAGCATAGTGATCACTTGTTCCTCTGTGTAGCATGTTTCACCTTTTTGTTCACTATTAACAAAATATGCCGTATGGTATCCCAAAGTAATAAATTTATAGCGTATGCTACCATTTTATGTTGAAAAGCATTGTGGATTATTTCTCTCAGACGATTTTTCAATTTCACATGGGGAATGGTTGTATACAGGGTTGAAAAACCAAAAGTTTTGATTGAACTAATATCAGAAAAATATTATCCAGAAGTTCTTTAGAGTTTATTAGAATCCACATATGGTTAATCATGTTAATACCACTACGCGAGTAAACAGTTACACAGTATATGCATGTAAAAAGAACAGGTATAATTAGTCCAGATTGTCCATGGGAGCATTCCTGTATTTCTAGTCCAGTTTTGTGAGGAAGCGATTTCCAACCGTGAAGAATTCATTTTTTAACTGTCAATGATTGCTTGCCTTCCCCCACTTTATTAATTTGTAATATGTTATTTAGTCTTTAGGGTGTTTCATTATTACGGTATTGAAGGACAATCATTTGAAATAAACAAATGGTTGATGTTTGTACTTGCTCCCTAAAAATCTTGAGAATTGTACAGAATTTTGGAAATATGATATGAAGGGTGCTATTTTTAAATGCTGTATGATCCACCTGAACATTTGCATATACATTGAATAATTCGACAGCCTTAAAAAATGTCAATTGCTGCATGATCTCTAATTCTTAAAAAAAAAATTCTATCCACAGTGCTAGTAAATCATCATATCTGGTCAGTTTGTTGAAGCAGAGAGGAGATATTGGTGAAATATGGATTGGATTAAAAAGTAAGTTCTTAGAAGAAATTTTCTTGTTATAATCTATTAATATATTGGGATGGAGTTAAAAAATAACATTGTACGGTGTTCAAACTGATCATTTTCACAATTCAGTAATAATAATAATTATGCTTAGCACAACAACATGTACATTTTTTGTTTGTTTCGCTGTATAAATGGTTGTTTCAATTGGAAGTTCATTGATTTCCAGGAAGATTATTAACCCTTTGTGAACCTACACATTAAAATTTCCATTCTATTTATTACAAATTAATGTAACACTTACTGAAATGTTCGGTATTTTGCGTTTTTGTTTTACTACAACCATGAAATTCTTTAAAAATGTTATCACAGTGAAACTACTTTGACAGTCTATTTGTTCTTTTAGAACAGAGTACTAATAACTGGTACTGGCCTAGCACAGGCGAAGTTCCATCGTTGAAATACTGGACATACATCTCTCCAAATAGCAACGAAACATTGTATGACTGCGCTTATATGAATGTTGGTAAGATATATTAGTGATGCTATGAGCAAGGAATAAAACCTGAATCTAATTGGTTGATGTATTCCAACTAGATAATACAATTACAAGAACCTTAAGTAATCGATATTATGTTCAATTTGTTCTTGTTCAAAATATGCCTGAAGTATCTGAAGAGAAGGTAAGATTTGGAGCCAATTTCGCCTTTGTATCAAATGTGTTTCAAACAGTCTCTGATAAGCAGAATCAAATGTTGGATAAGTAACTACTTAAACATTAAAGTTTCTGTTTCAGTTTACTCATTACCTGGGAAATGCAGACATGGAATCACAGAAATTAATAAAAATTGCAAAATAGGAAGCAAAAATCAGAATTTTTTACTTTCACATGCTTAGAAATTATATGCGCACATTAATTTCCTATAAATTCACTAGCAAACAATTATTTTGGGTGACGTGTGTGCTGTATGTTGATTTAGCCAAAATTATCTAAAAAATAGTCTACTCATGCTGCTTAGGTAAAAACGCTCTCTTATGATGTCAGTATAATGTCATAGTAAAGTTATGTCAATTAATTAACAGTGGGCTGTTTATAAATATTGTTGTTCCATTTCTGCACTCTAAGTAATTTGAAGTAATTTTCTATGGAAGTTAGACTACAATGAGTTATCACTCTTTCTAGTTCATTTATGGTGTATTCCACACGCCTGTAAAGATTTTTGAGATGAAGATGGAAAAATGAAATGGAATGTTAATTTTGTACATAACTAGACTTTTGAATGTGAGAGAGTATATAGGAATGGTATGTGATAAAAGCATTAAAATTATTCAAAATTAGATTAATCTCACCTAATTTTTCTACAGGACTTGCAGTTGTACACTTATTTGAATTTTTGATCTGAGAAGGATTTTTTTTCCATACCAAAACATGGATAATATCTGCTTATATCATTTGGAAATGGCATGAAATCAGAGTTGTCGATGTTCCCACTGTCTGTATCACTCTTGACATACCATCGACGTCATAATGGATGAACCGACGTTGATAAGTTTCACTCATCTTCTGGTTTGTTGGTGAAACAAAGAAGCAGAATTGTTTCTATCATGCAAAATACACAAATACAATCAAATAAATCTATCAGATTTTCATCATATTCATATTGTAAAATATCAGCTGCTCGACACAATTTGAAGACTTTTTTTTAACTTTTTAGCTGCGCTCACTTGACAAAAAGCTTCTTATTGTGACTCTCAGCTAATATTTTACAATATCAATATGCAGACAACCTGATAATCGATATTTCTCAAAATCTTTTTCACCCTGGTGGTCCTTGAAGAATCTTTGCTGGCCCTCACTATTATTTTTACTGCAAATTAGCAAAACAGTGTTGGTCCGTAGTAAAACTTTGGTGGTCATGACCTTCAGACCACCACTTTTCGAGGATGTGTAATACTCAGTGTCTTAGGAAGACTTGTACATTTGTGCATAGCAATTTTCTTTAGATTTTTGATTGTTTTCCATCATGATTTATAGCACAAGAAGAGATTGTTGCTGAAAACCAAAGTTTAATAATCACCTCAGTGGACTTATGATAGTGAGAGCTGGAGGTTGTAGGTTTGTACGATTCGCTCGTGTATGTAACAACGTATTAGATTTTATCGAGAGAAATTTATGTATTACTGAAAAATTATTACACCAGGATTTTCGATATCATAAACTAGTCAAAACATTTACTAAATTTTATCATCGGTATAAGGACATCATTCGTAAATATAACTCAACATGCAGACATCTTATACGTTCAGGTATTTCACATCCAATCTTTTATGGTAATATTCTTAAGAAAGCACAAAAATGTCAGTATTCACATCAAAAGCTAACAAAACCTTTAAACAGACTTATTAAGAAGGGATATAGTTACGATACTGTTGTCAGGTCATTAAAGATTGCATATTTTGGCTTTAATATTGATTCACTTATAGGGTCTTTGCATCGGAATTAAACATATTTCCTCTAAAACCAGTTGTTGGCATGACACGTGTTATGTTCTTCTCATATATTTTATGATGGTATAAAACTAAACCCCTTACAGGAGGGATTGTGCCTGATATTCATATGATGAAGACATAATCTTTCAATCAGTTTAATTGAGGTCTGGAGCTGGCATGTCAGTAACTGCTAGTAGTCTGTTGTTATTTATGTATTATTGTCATTTTGTTTATTTTCTTTTGTTTCCTATTCTGACATCGGACTCGGACTTCTCTTAAACTGAGTTTTACTGTGCGTACTGTTGTACGTTTGTTTTTTCTACATTGGCTAGAGGTATAGGGGAGGGTTGAGATCTCAAAATACATGTTTAACCCCGCCGCATTTTTGCGCCTGTCCCAAGTCAGGAGCCTCTGGCCTTTGTTAGCCTTTTATCATTTTTAATTTTAGTTTCTTGTGTATAATTTGGAGTTTAGTATGACGTCCATTATCACTGAACTAGTATACATATTTGTTTAGGGGCCAGCTGAAGGACGCCTCCGGGTGCAGGAGTTTCTCGCTGCATTGAAGACCCATTGGTGGCCTTCGGCTGTTGTCTGCTCTATGATCGGGTTGTTGTCTCTTTGACACATTCCCCATTTTCATTCTCAATTTTATTGATTGATGGCTAGGTCAAACAAACAAACAAACAAACAAACAAACAAAATTTGTATTTGCTGCTTCTCCAAGCACACAGCTTTTAGGAGTGCCCTGTTGGTTTGGAGATAGAATAATATGTCTGAATAGTGTGAAATGTCTTCCTGCTGATTAATACCTTACGAGGTAGCATGTTAAAAATCTGACTCGGTGTGTCATTCAAGTACCATGCAGGGTATATTCCTTTCCTGTTATTGTCCTTCAAATGGATGTAATTACAATGCTGGATTTTGAGTACCCATCAAACAATCATCTGTAAAAGCCAGACAAATATTAATAAAAATCAAAGGACAAGTGAACAAGTCTAATCTGACTATCACTTAATTTTACAGTTTAGCTCCATCCACAAAATGCACCGAAATGAATATTCCACAAATATTATAAATCAATTTGATTTCTACTTTCACAGGAGATAATGGCAAATGGAATATAAACTTCCCATGTAATAGAACACTCAGAGTTGTATGTGAGGTACCAGCTACAACAAGTTTTACAACTACAACAGTGGCTCCACCTACTACTACTACAAGTATTTATCAAATAATAGTAATACTTTCATGAATTAAAAAAATGGAAAATCAGAAGTCTGTAAATGCTTGTTGACAGTTTATATCCTAAAGGTCAAGGTCTCACATTATTTAATTCGAAATCTCAACGGTATGTTTATATGTGCAAAATTAATTGATTGATTAAACATATTTATTGTCTAAAAAGATGACAAATTGTAAATTCACAATTCTATCAATTCTTTTTAAAAGAGTTATGCCCCTTGGAATTATTAATTATATGAAAACTAAGAAGTAATCTCTCGTGTAAAATTCTTGCAAGATTTTATCAAATTTAAATCACCAATGTCTTGTACAAGTTTAAAAATGAGTGCTGATCATCTATTTTTTAATAGTTATGCCCCTTGGAAATATTAATTATATGGAAAATTGCATTGTTAGCACTCTCACACGTTCAATTCTTGCTATTTGTTTTTATTAAATTTATATCATCAACCTCCGAGACAATTTGAAAATCAGTGCTGATCAACTAATTTTAAAAGAGTTATCCCCCTTGTAAATATTAATTATATTGAAAATTGCATTGAAAGCTTTTTCAAGACTTCATTTCTGCAAGATATTTATAAAAAGTTATTGCTCTTGTACCGATGAAATATGTGCTACATGGGGAACATAACTGTTCTTTTATCTGTCCAAGAGTCATAATTACAATGCAAATCATGATTAACAAATTACCTGTAGCCTTGAGATCTAACAGAAGACAACTAGTATTTTTTTATTTCTTTTTGAAGAGCCTGCGACGTTGATGTCGTGAGATTTATGTCGCCAGGTGAGAAATAGTGATCCTAGATTCCGTCATCGGCAGCGTCAACAATTAGGTTTAGTCTGTGTTTTTTTTTTTAGACATCAATAACTTTATCAAACCTTCATGGAGATTTATGAAATTTGGACAGCAGCTTCTTTATGACCAGTTTTCAGAGCAAAGTTTTGAAAATATTTATTTTCATTTTTCCATATTTTACTGATAAATGGACTTAGTTTTTTTACAGTTAACACGTAGATACAGTCTGGGGTTAAAGTTTGTTACACATTGTTGTCAAACCTTTATAGAATTTTATGAAACTTTGGCAGAAGCTTTTTTATGTTTAGCGATAATGTCTAAAGCAAACTTTGTAAAATATATTTTCATTTTTAGTATTTTCTGATATATGGATTTAGTTTTTTACAGTTAACATTTACAGACAGTCTGGGATTACATTTTTTTGACATGATATGTTTGTAAACCTTCATGGATTGTTATGAAACTTGGACAGAAGCTTATCTTCAAGACCAAGAAATAGCATCTAAAGAAAATGTTTGATTTTTTTTTAATTTTATATTTTACTGATAAATGGATTCACTTTTTAAGTCAACATTACACTTTTACACTGACAGCAGCAATCATTTTTTTAAAATAAAATTTGAATATTGGTAAATCATCAATTTAATTTGAAGTATTTTTATGACTTTTCCAGCTCCAGCTCCAGCAACAACAGCAACAACAACTTCAAAAACAACAAATGCAGCTATGACCGAGCCAGGTGTTTCAACTGCTGTACCAGGTAATTGCTCCAACATATTAAAATATAAACTTGAATGCACTTGTGTGAAATAGGTTGATCATGATGTGTCATTTATTATATACTTGGTAGTAAATACAAGTAAATTGTATTTGTAATACAATCAATGGTAAATGTGCTGTATCAGCCATCCATGAAGATATCGATATCAGTCACGGTTGCACAAGCTTTATCAAACCCCTAATATGTTTCATGAAAAACATCTAATTAGTTGTACTTGATGTACATATATATAATAAAGTGTCAAAAGTAAGGGTTTTTCAATATCGCACACCATATCATCCCTCAACCAATATAAGTCCTTGAGCAGAGCTCTTTGGATTATATTGGTGTCTTGGGTTGGTACAGGTGTGATATTGAAAAAGCCATATGATATTCTCTATCATAGTTTCCCGTTATTTTGTATTAATGTTATTTGAAAGAGCTATAAACTTCTAACATTGTTTGTGGCATTAAAAATTAAATAGTACTTTGTGAACACGTTTCCTCTAAAGTTATCATACATAAGATTTTGTTCATAATAAAGAGTTGTTAGTTTCATATTATCCAGCAGTAATGAGTAATTTGCACCACTTTGAGCACTCTTTAGACATTTTAAAATTATTTTTCTACACCGTTTTTATTGATGGTTTGTTTAGTCATAGGAGGTTAAAAAACTGTTTTTAATATATAAACAAACTTGTTTGATATGCTGAACACCACAGTTAAAAAGTTTATTTTTATCAATATCAGACATCAGAATACTTTGCCACTTATTATCTCTCTGACAAATCCTTCTTATCCATGATGATTTTAGTGCCATAGTAAAACTATAAAGATCTATCATTTTTGATCCACCCTCCAAATATTGTTTAATCAATACGTCCTTCTCACTCTATGTATAGGAGAGTTCCATACAAATGTATAAAAAAGTTCATTACTTTTTTGGAATACACTGTCTGAAGGATTAGGCAAAGACAAAATAAGGTAGTTTAAAATAGGTAAAAAAAGAATTTTTATCACAGTTATTCTACCTATTACTGTAAAGTTTCTTTTTAACCACTGTTTTATTATGTTCATAATCTGTATAATTTTATCATTATAGTTGATGTTGACAATAAGTCCACATCAAAAGTTATACCAAGTAATTTAAAAGTTGTCTCTTCCCATGAAAGGTTTACATCAGGACATAAAATTTCCTTGCTACACTTTTTACTTCCAATCTAAATTACTTGTGTTTTTGCAAAATTTATATTTAAACCAGATATTTTTGCAAACCAGTCCAATTCAGGATTCATATAAAGATTTTTCACTTCCATCTAAAATCAATGAAGTGTCATCCGCAAACTCTGACAACTTATGCTCTATATGAGTAACTTCAATATCACAAATTTTCTTATTTCCTCTTATCTTGAGTGCAAGAATCTCAGCACATAGGATGAAAAGATAAGATGAAAGCGTATCGCATTATCGGCAGCCCCGACCTATGTTAAAAAAATCAGAAAGGTTGCCCCCCTGTATAACTGCAGACTTGATATTATTATAAAACGTTTTTATCCAGTTGATAATTGATTCACCAAAGTTAAAGAACTTTAAAACATTTAGCAAGAAATCCCAAGAAATAGAATCACAAGCTTTTTCAAAATCAATTAACAACAAGAGCCCAGGTATTTCATGATCTTCTGTGTATTGCATGATATCATATAGAAGCCTTATATTTTCTCCTATGTACCTTCCACTAATAAAACCAGTCTGATCTAGATTAATAAGTTTGTCAAGGACACTCTTAAATCTGTTTGCAATTACTGCTGACCCAATCTTATAGGCAGTGTTTAAAAGTGAAATAGGACGCCAACTTTTTTCAAAAAATGACGAGGCTTATTTCCTACCAGTCTTTGCTCTTACTCTTAAATGCCGCGTGCTTAGTGGTGGGAGCAGCAAATACCAATGTTTAAGTCTTTGGTTTGACCCTGCCGGGGTTTGAACCCACATCCCCCTCACTCGAGGCGAACATGCTACCACGAAACCACCGAGGCGGTGCTTCAACGAGACAGTAACCCACAATATAAAAGGTTTCATGGGAAGCCACTGGTATATACACCTCCAGACTCAAGGAATCGCACTGAAAACAGGGATAAGGTACCGATCATTCATCTTTTTAGGAGGGGGATGGGTTTTTTTCTAAAATGTTTGATTCCAAATTTCTTGAAAAAAGACTATTTATTTCAGAAGGGAAGCGGAAAAAAAGATTGTTTCTATTGAAAATGAGGGAAAAAATAAAACAATAATAAAATTAAAAAAATAACCTTGTTATTGAAAAAAAAGGTAATTTTTATAGCTCACGTGGGCCCAAAGGGCCCCATGTGAGCTTATACCATCACTTGGCGTCCGTCGTCGTCGTCTGTCGTCGTAAACTATTTCAAAAATCTTCTCCTCTGAAAATGCTGGGCCAAATACCTTCAAACTTAAACTACATGTTTCTTAGGGTATCTAGTTTATAAATTGTATCCGAAATTATGATCAATCGACAAACATGGCCGCCATGGCTAAAAATAGAACATAGGGGTAAAATGCAGTTTTTGGCTTATATCTCAAAAACTTAAATTTTTAGAGTAAATCTGACTCGGAGTAAAATTGTTCATTTGGTCAAGACCTATCAGCTCTAAAATTTTCAGACGAATCGAACAACCCATTGTTGGGTTGCTGCCACCAAATTGGTAGTTGTAACAACATTTTGCAGTTTTTTGTTATTATTTTGAACATTATTAAAGATATATATAAACTGTAAGCAGCAATAATGTTCAGCAAAGTAAGATCTACAAAAAAGTTATATGACCATAATTGTCAATTGACCCCTTAAGGAGTTATTGCCCTTTAAAGACAATTTACACAATTTGTTCATCAAGTTTGCTAACAATTAAAAAACTTCTCCTCTGAAATACAGGTGAGCGATTGTCTTTTTTCTAGCTTTTAACCCATTGCTTGGCATAATCATCCACTGAATCCATCAGTATTTTGAAGTTGTGTTTCCAATTGATATATTTAGGCTCCCATATTTCGGGCCTTTGAATAACACATTTCGCAGAGAAGTGTTATTGACAATGTTTAGGTAACGGGTAATAACGTGGCTAGCCGGATTATATATGAATGGGGAACTAGCACAGGTACAATTGGGAGATTTAGACTTGAAGTCTCCAATATTGAGATCCTGCTACACGTGTTTGTAATTGAAAATTTTAGTTGCAATTGGTTTGGTATTGGTATAAGAAATTATATGTACATTTTGGTCTTTAAAATAGGGAGGTATTATTGAGTGAACTGATTTATGATAAAGGATATTGCCCAAGTTGATGGCATCGAGACCTTTGTTGGCAAAGGAAAGTTTAAGAAAGGATTTTTTCTCCTTTTCATCTTTTCCAATGCGTACTGGTTTGAAAAGTCTGACTTGCAATATCCGAAATGATAGCTGTAAGTTTGTATTGGTTTAGATGAGGGTTAATAACAGTAATTTTCACACATAAGTTGAAGTTTTGAAAGGGGTAATGAATGAAGCTTCGTGCGAATGTGATGAAGACTTAACGGCTTTTGTATAAATGGCAGCAGGTCATTAATAGAGACATCATGGAGAGAATGTGATGTAATATTACGTTTACCACGACTGCGTCTACGTCGAGTAGAGTTGAAAATGTTAATTCCATTTACCGAGCTACAGGTAGGAATAGATAGAATACCTATACCATCAATTTTGTATTTGCAACCATATGGTGTCTCAGTTTCCAATTGTCGAATCCAGTAGTTTTCTTTTTGTCTACTGAGAGATGTGCCAAAATAAGGATGTTAGTCCTGTGGTATATTTTTTCGATGATGCGAACTTGCATAGAAAGGATTGAATGATCAGGCTGGTTGAACCTTGCTCCTGGTAAAATAAGACTCTTTAGTTCAAGTATCTTATTCTTAATTTTAACACATTAGTTCAAGTAAAAAATAATGTTATGTATATATTTGTCCCTCCAAGCATTCTAAAATTGTGAGCCCTTCAGTTCGGGGAGATTCAGTTTGCAGCGGCAGCTTTTAATATTTTGCGCTTATCTTAAAAACTACAATAGATTAAATAAAAAAAAAAGAATAGTGCTATGAAAACAGTCTGAATATGCTCTATAGTAAATGTCCCCCCCCCCCCCACAACACACACACACACACACACACACATTTCTCAATACTTTTGTTCGCAATAACAAAAAAATGCATTATCCTTCTATTGCTATTATAAGATTCAAATGAAAAGTGCTCTTTTGGAAGAACATGTTGACAACTGATGTCTTTCGAGTCAAAACTATCTTTTTATACGCCCGTCAATTTTTGACGGGACGTATTATGGTATACAAATGGCCGGTGTCCGTCCGTCCGTCCGTCTGTCTGTCCGGCGTAAACATGTCGCACCGTAACTTGAGAATGACTTATCCAAATTTCATGAAACTAAACATAGTTGTTTCTTATGATGGTCAAACGATCTGTATACTTTATGGTGAAAATAAGATTAAAACTTTTTGAGTTACGGGACTTAGTAACTAAAACAGGTGTGTGTTTTTTTTTCACATGTCGCGCCGTATCTCAAAAACAATTTATGATTATTGCTTAAAACTTTACACACTTCTTAGTTATATTAATCTTAAGATTTGTATACTTTTTGTTGATGATTCAAAATTTTATTTTAGAGATATTGAGTATTTTGTAAAAAAAGGGGGAGGAGTTTTTCACATGTCACGCCGTATCTCAAAAACAGTTTATGATTATTGCTTAAAACTTTACACACTTCTTAGTTATATTAACCTTAAGATCTGTATACTTTTTGGTGATGATTCAAAATTTTATTTTTGAGTTATTGAGTATTTTGTAAAAAAAGGGGGAGGGGTTTTTCACATGTCGCGCCGTATCTCAAAAACGATTTATGATTATTGCTTAAAATTTTACACACTTCTTAGTTATATTAATCTAAAGATCTGTATACTTTTTGGTTTTGATTCAAAATTTTATTTTAGAGATATTGAGTTTTTTGTAAAAAAAAGGGGGTTTTCGCATGTCACGCCGTATGTCAGAAACTATTTATGCTTACTGCATAAAAATTCACACACAAGACGACGGGCGTTACATGCGCTCATAGCGCGGCTGTTTATTTACTGTAGTGGGAAGTGTAGGGTGTGGGTCGAACCCTAAACAGTTTGGGCAAGTATGGATATATCATTCAAGCTTGATACAGCTCTGAATTTTGATTGAGATTAAATATTTGACACAGCATAGGTTTCTGACACAGCATAGGTTTCTGACACAGCATAGGTTTCTGACACAGAATGAATGTGGTCTAAGATCTTAAAAAGATAACATTGGACATTTACCTATTATATGGTCCAATATCAAAAATCTAGATATATGGTTTTATTCGGCATATCAAAGAACCCCAAGAATTAAATTTTTGATGAAATCAAACAAACATTAATTTTGGACACTTTTGACCTTAATTTCAGATAAATTTAAAAACATGGCCCAAAACCAGAAGTCTAATTACACGGTTAGATTCAGTAAACAAAGTTTAATTTGGACCCTTTGGACCTAAATGTGAACCAATTTAAAAACGAGGCTCAAAATAAAAAAATCTAAATACACGATAAGATTCGGCAGATCAAAGAACCATATAAATCAAATTTTGATGATTTTGACCTCAATTTTGGATCAATTTAAAACGGGGTTCAAAATCAAAAATCTAATTACACTGTTAGATTCAGCATATTGAATTACCCCAAGAATTCAAGACTTTGAATTAAACCCCATTTAAATTGGTCAAGAAATGAGTAATTTATATAGTATTAGAAAAGAATTGTTTTTGGCCCCTAATTCCTTAACGGATAAGGCCGTAACCCCAAAAATTAATACCAAACTTCCTTTTTGGATATGGAACCCTGTGGTACAATTACATAGAGATCCATACACTTATGCACAAGTGATTGTCCTGAAACAAGAAAAATGCTTGTTTTTGGCCCCTTATTCCTAAAAGGTTTGAACAATAACCTCAAAAATCAATCCCAAACTTCCTTTTGTACTATGGAACCTTGTACAATTTGATAGAGATCCATACACTTAAACTCAAGTTATTGTCTGAAAACTAAATGTCTTCGGACGACGACAACATGGCCATACCATTATACGGCCGCAAATTAAAAAAATGAATGCCACTTTTCCATTAAAAAAAAATTTCAAGGCCCCCCTTAATTTCCTCCTATCCCCTCAAAAAAGACCGGTCCCTAACAGGAGTCAATTCCCTTTCAATGTCTGATTTTGTCCATTTTTGTGTTTTTTTATGTCCCACCTAAGGGCATTGTGTTTTTCGGTCTGTGCGTCCGTTCGTTGTTCCGTACGTCCGTCCATCTGTCCCGCTTCAGGTTAAAGATTTTCAGATTAAAGTTTTTGGTCGAGGTAGTTTTTGATGAAGTTGAAATCCAATCAACTTGAAACTTAGTACACATGTTACCTACGATATGATCTTTCTAATTTTAATGCCTAATTACAGTTTTGACTCTAATTTTACGGTACACTGAACATAGAAAATGATAGCGCGAGTGGGGCATCCGTGTACTATGGACACATTCTTGTTTCATCTTTAAAACGAGGTACCAACGTGCCAATATTTATCTCTTTAAAAATCTCATTCATTTTCCAAACGATATCTACAGATTTGAACCGGGTTCATAGTACTTCCGGAGAAGCAGATCGTAATCAGTTATGACGTAGACAGTTATCATTCTGATCGTAATCATGTTCAGTGACCATAACAACGACAAAAGCACATCATATAAGGACGTTTTGACATTAAATAATGAAGTAAACCAAACCACATCATATTTTGTTACAAGCTCATAATATAATGACACAACCACATCATATAAGTATATTTGAACATCATATAAGGATCTTTGCACATCATATAAGTACTTTTGCACATCATACAAGTATACCTGCACATTATATAGGGATATTTGCACATCATATAAGGATATTTGCACATCATGTAAAGGTGTTTGCACATCATGTAAGTGCACATCGTAGGATATAAATCGACCTTATGCAAGTGCACGTATGATTGATTTCGGAACATTCAAATTCGAAATAAAATATGAACTTTGGCATGTGTTGTAGGGGTCTCATAACAACTCAGTTTTTAAACAGTTACAGACTTTCCATAGATTATTTTTCAACTCGAACTATGTTAAAAGATGTATTGATATTCATTTGCATAAATTTCTATCCACGAGGCTCTTATAATGAAAATGGGCATAATGAGACAGTTTTGGCGTTCCATACACGATGTTGAAAGTTAATTGATTGGACTAAGTGTCTCTATCAAAAATTTTAAATGATGGGTTGGATATTTTTTAATGTGAATTCTTCAATGTTCTTTACTAGTACATGAATCTTAGCATTTGACAGAGTTCATTGATTGTTGAAAAGAAAACAATCCTCTCTGTCAAAAACTCTGATTGATGTAGAATTCCCTTCATACTTTATATACCTTAACTGGCTTAAGATGACAGTTGCATATCCTGTGAAACATATGCATGCTTTTTATTCTTTCTTAAAGTCAAATCTGTGCTTATTATTATAATTGCCGGTACAATCGTGCTTGCAAATACTCTTTTTATTAACTGCTCTGTTTACAACTTGGTATATGCTAATGCTTGGTGTCTCTCTTGGAAGCTTCTACATAGTTGGATATATGAAGGTTAACAGGAATTTCCAAATATATTTGACCGTACAAAGTGGCTGTCCATCACAAATTGTTTCGATTCTAACTTTCAAACCCAACATCTTTGAATAATAGAAGTTGCAGTGACTGAACCTTATTTTTTTCTCTATAGTCCAAGAGTGCATAATGGATCAGATGGGTAAGAATTATAGAGGAACTATTAGTCAAACTAACACAGGTCGTACATGCCAGGCTTGGTCATTGCAAGTCCCCCATAAGCATAGCTATAGTGATCAACTCTCTGATCAGAAGAACTACTGTCGTAACGCAGATGATGAGCCATATGGTCCATGGTGCTATACAACTGATGTAAACCAAAGATGGGAGTATTGTGATATACCGTATTGTGGTATGTAACACTTGGAATATTTATTTGACCTGAAGAGTGTTACATCATTAAAAAATTTAGACATACATGTACATTATTTACCCATAGAAAATTAGTATAAGACTTTGAAAAATATTTTGAAGTTAATGGTAAAACTTGAGATCAGATGCCATTATAGATATAAATACTGGAAACAAAATGATATTATAAAATGGTAAAAAAGTTATTATTGGATGGAGTAAATCATCGGACCATATTCAGCACGTCTTTAAAATAATCAGCATCATTATATATTTCTTCTTTGTTTTTAGCTGGAGCAGTTACACCAGTCATCCCCACTACTACTACAACAATTGCAGGTAAGGTTTCAGACTTTCATCAATTTTTTTTACTTTTGCTCACCTGACCAAAAGGCCCAAGTGAGCTATTCTCATCACGTGGCGTCCATCCTCCCTCCTTCGTTGTCATCCCCCGTTGTTGCTGTTGTCCATTTACTTTGACAAAAATCTTTTTTGCAAACTAATGGGCCAAATAGAAATATTGCATAGGTGTAAAATGCAAGTTTTGTCTATTATTTTGAACTGAAGAAAATCTGACAGGAGCAGAAATGTTCAGAGATCTATCAACTGTTTAATTACACAAAAACTGTCGGATGACTTTTATAGTAGTTATTGCCCTTTAATTACAGTTTTTCCAAATTTGTTTTTCAAAGTTGCCTATCTTCTTGAAAACTGTAATATAGAGAAACTGTATAGGCAAAAATGATCAGAAAGACAAGAGCTACAAATAAGTTGGCGTGTACTAAAGTGCCATTCGACTCCTTATAAAAACAATTGCCCTTAAATGACGATTTTTCAGGAAAAATTGTATTTTGCGTATCAACTTGAAAAATATAATAGATGAATAGAAATTTAAAATAGCAAAAACTAGCAAAACAAGATCTACACATAAGTCAATGTGGAAATCGTTGGTCAACTACTTATATTATTTATTGCTGGTGTCATTTGGTAGTTTAAACTCCCTTAAAAGTGACCCTGTGACCCTAGAAATTTGTCAATATTTCTGAAATCGTCTGTCGACTCCCGAAGGGGGTTATTGCCCTCGATTGACTATTTGTATCGTAAAGAAAAAAATGTAAACAGTAAAAAGGAACAGCAAGACGAGATCAATGAAAAAGAAATTTTGCTGCCCATTCGTACATTGGTTACAGTTTTGGTTTAAGTCAGTTTAATTACCACAAAACTTATATATATTATGATGTGAACTTTAGAAATTTATGCAAAATTAAGGTTTTGTCCCAGATTTTGCAGTTTATGTTGAAATGTGATAACGGGAGTACAGTAAGGTGTCCTATGAACACATGTTCATTTTCTTTATAATTTTAGTTACGACAACTGCTGCTAAGACATGGAGTGAAAAATGTGGGTTTTTTTGGGAAAATTCACCTATCCCTGATGTTTGTTATCATTTTGATAATCGTTTATCAAGCTGGATGGAAGCAAGAACAAAATGTCAAACGTTGGGTGGAAAGCTAGTTAGTATCACATCAACTCATGAACAGCTTTACCTTGCTGGTAAGTTTTACTTATGATAATATTTTTTTATATAATATGATATCAAATTGATTACAATATATGGTTTATTTATTACGTTATGCTAAACCATGTGATGCATTTTCACATCCTTTGGTCTTCATCTTCCTGTTTACGGAATAAAGAGGAGTCGCTCACATTTACAAATATTTGTCCTGTTGTTTATTTTGTTTGAATATCCATCTAGATAAGCTGTACCATGTGATACATTCTCAGGACCATCACACACATACTTCCTATTTGACATATGCATTCAAATTCTTTTGAAAGTTATGTACACACATTAAAAGAATACCTTAGTTATAACTTTTAACTCGTTGTGTAATATTAATTTGTTAGCAACAGATAAGTTGTGAGAATAAATAAAGGCAGACGATACCCAAGAGAGATTCAAAACTTGTTTGTCCAATAGAGACCAACAACATCATGGCAAAAAATAAAAACAACAATCTACAAAACAAAACATAAAATACAAAAGAGCAACAAGTACTGCACCAAAACATCTAAAATGGAGAAACAGAGAACAGGAGAATAACATTGACTATGTCTAATTAATATTTTGTTAAGAAAGTATTAAATACATACAATTGTTATATTACATTTTGATAGGACGGTTGCTAAGTAGTAATTTCAGATCAATGTGGATAGGTGCCAATTGTCGGGGAGCAGATGAAGGCTGGAGATGGTCTGATGGTTCGCCATTCTCCTTTCTACATTGGATGCAAGGTTTGCTGATACTTTTTTTTTTAGCTCACTTGACCCAAAGTGCTAAGTGAGCTTTTATTATCACTTGGTGTTTGTCCTATGTCGTCATCTGTTCAATTTTATAAAAATTTTCTACTTTGAAAATACGGGGCCAATTTACCTAAACTTGTCGACAATCATCATTGGGGTAACTAGCTTAAAACATGTGTCCCATGCCCCCTCCTGCCACCTAACATGGATAACACTTAATCCACTTATTTGTCACTTGCTCAATGTGCTCTTTGTTGATTGATTATCAATGTCAAAATCCGGTAAACTTTGGCAGCAAACTCTAAAGTTAATTAGTTTTTGATCAACAATCACTGAATGAAATATTATTTGTTGATAATACGTTATACATTCCTAATAAATATTAAAAAACGTGCATACAGGACTTAATTTTGTATATATGCTTGCATCGGTTAAATAATTTCAATAACATTAAAATTACGAGAAACTCGTTTCATATGTCTTTAAATGACAAATTTTACCTATTAATTAGAAAATAGTAATAGGTTTAGACCAACTTAAATACAAAAAAGATCAGCAAGTCAACACCACAAATATAGTCAGACGACTCCTTAATGGAGTTATTTCCCTTTTATGACAATTTTTATGACTTTTTTTTCAATTGTGCCTCATATCTTAAAAATGTAATAGTTATAGAGAAACTTTAAATAGCAAAACTGATCATCAAGACAAGATTGACAAATAATTCAACATGGCCAAATCGTCAAGACTACTCCTTATTGAAGTTATTGCCCATTTATGATGATTTTTGCACCTTTTTTGGGTGTTTTTGCCGAAGATCTTAAAAGCTATAATAAATAGAAACTTACAAAAAGTACAATATGATCAGAAAGACATGATCTACAATAAGTCTTATAGCCAAATCATCTGACGACTCCTTATTGGAGTTATTTAAGGAAGTACTGTAATATTGTTTTCTGTCTATGAAGAAATAACATCAAAAATGTGGTGCACACTGAATAACCCGCATAGCAGGTTATTTAAAAGTGTTCACCACATTTGTTAGGTTATTTCGAATAGACAGAAAAAATATTGCAATCATTCCTTATAATTTAATTCTAAATTCCATTTTAAGGAGTAAATCATGAAAAAAAAATGTTGATGACATCATGGTCACATGACAAAATTTATGATAGACAAAAAACTTTCAGCCACTTGGAAGACGTGTTACAACCAAAATTAAATTGTTAAATTTTATTGACAATTTTTTCCCAATTTAGTGTTTTTGCCTTTTATCTTGAAAACTAAAATTTATAGCCAAACACTTTAGAGAATGATCAGCAAGACAAGATCAAATTTGTCCCTTATTGCAGTTCTAGCTCTTTATCGTGCTTTTTTTTTAAGCAATTCATGCATTTTTGCCTATTATTTTGCAAACTATTAAAGATTAACACTTTAATAACAAAAGTGATCAGCAAGACAAAATCTACAAAAATCTTAGTGAACTCTGTATAAGAGTAATTGCCCTAAAATGGCTTTTTTTTAAAAAACCCTTTTGTGTTTTGGACAAAAACTAAAGAAGATGGAGAGAAATTGTAAACAGAAGAAAGGATCAGCAATGCAAGATCAACAAAAAAGATTTTGGTCATTTCTATTCTAGTCAACAATGTTTGAATGTGTCAATTGTTGAAGATGTACATAGACCTAGGTGAGCCACACAGGTTCTTTAGAGACTCTAGTTATGTTTAAAATAACTGGTATTAAAACTGTTTTAACAATGGCCCGATATGTACGTCTGTTTATGATGTAAAAATATTAGCATCAATTTTATTTTTCCACCAAACACAAAAAAACACATTCCAATTTTTTGGATAAGAAACTTTTTGTGCCTGCGTCAATAAAAAATACATTTTATCATTACGATGGCTAAAACAAATGAATTATTTAGAGTCGAAAATTTAGTTTTTCATGCCAGGCTATCTATGTTTCTTAGGCCTAACTGGAGTTAAAATCTAGAAAACTATGTCAACTTTCACAAAACTATCTTAAGAGTGACTTAATTTTGGTGTTACTGATAAAGAAAAGCTCCATATAAACCATTATGTTTCACCTTCTCACATGTATATGAATCAACTTGGAACATTTCATCTTGAAGTAATGGACTTATTAAATTGGGGCCAAAAATGAGCCCTTGCCACACGTACACCTTTTATTCTAGATCTTGTACCAAATCAACATGATAAGTTGAATAGAAAAATTATTTTGATGTTGCTTCGATAATTTTGTAAACTTAAAAAATAGTTTGATTTCATGTAGATCAGCCTGATGGGCTTGAAAATGGTGAAGACTGTGTTTCTATGGATACTAAGTTAGGACAATGGGAAGATCAAGAATGTGATGTCAAACAAGGCTTTATTTGTAGAAAGTCAGGTTGGTTAATGCTATTTAAACTTATTTTTAAGTGGGATATGACCTTACTCCTCTCCAGATAAAATGTTAGTCCTTTCACAGCATTTAAGTGGGTATTTCCCATTTAGGGAGATAAATCTTTGTAAGTCAACAGAATGTTTTAAAGGATTAAGAAATGAAAGCATCATATTAACATGGACTTTTGCTGTTGGAATTTTATGACAATGGGGCATTGAGTGTTATCCTTGACCGTTTGTCTTTCCTTCCATCCATCTATTCCTTCCGTCTGTCCTTCTTTCCGTTCATCCCATTTTTGTTTTCACACTTTATATTGAGTTTGACTCGTGCAAAATTTATGAAACTCGTACACAATGCTAAGAACCAAAACTAGCAGACAGTGTGAAATTGGGCGGTGAGTCATTTACCGTTCTATAGTTGTGTCTGTTTATAACTTGGAAAATAGCAATTTTTTTCGTTTCTGCACTCGATTTAAATTTGTCTCATACAAATTTTATAAAACTCCTACACAAGGCTAAGAACTACAAGATGCAGACAGAGTTTGAATTTGGGTTGTGAGTCATGTACCGTTTTAGAGTTATGCTCCTTTTTAACTTGCAAAATTGCAAAGCTTGAGCAGGGGCATTCGTGTCCTCATATACGTTCTTCTTTTATTTTATTTGATTCTAATGGCTCAATTTGTTTCCAATAGGATTTGAGATGTTTAGTATATAGCAATGAGACAGCAACCCAACTGCCTAACAAATCACAAGATATCCGAAGATAAGCATATGGTCATCAATAAAAGTGTTTTTAATTTATCAAGATCTTAATCATCATGAACAGAGAAAACTTGTACATGAATTTAAAAGACTTAAGATAATTAACACAACATTAGTTCCAAACAGTTTGTTGCTAGTCATAATTTAAAAGTTAGTTATTCATAAGCTAAAAGTAAATATTCGAATGCATGGTATGGCATAAGCTCTGAAAATATTCTTTCTTCATTTTAGTTGCTGCACCAACCCTGCCACTAATTCCAACAACATCACCTGTAATTGGAAAAGGTAATTAATATATTGATAGTTTTAGCCGTCCTCGACAAAAGGGCCATGCTAACTATTGCCATCACTTGATGTTAGGTATTGCCATTTTAGTTTCAACATTTGCACTAAACTATCAAAATAAAATAAAAGCGAGAAATAGTCTATCAACAGCTTATTTTCATATTTCACCATAACATGGTAATGTGCACAAGAATATATCTTCTTTTAACCCTTTTTTTTGTATCTTTGAAGTTGCCAGAACGTAAGTCTCTACTTCCATTCACGGAGATGCTTAATTATTTGTGTCCTGATAGTGAAATGATAATGCAACTAGATATTCAATATCATAAATCTCAATTGTTATTCCGTGTATTTAAACAGATATATAATGTTCAAGAGGGGTATTGGTGAGAAAAAAAAGGTTCCTGAGAAAAAATTTCTTTACCTTGTTTTGACCATGTTGACTGGTATTTTTCACAAATTCTACTTATGAATTGTGAATGACATTGAGTTTTACCCCACTTTTTTATTCATTGTGGTATTTGTAGGAGGTTCCAGTAGGGTGCTGTTTCATTGACTTTTACACCACATTTTCATTCAAACTGTGAACTGGACAATTTTCGCGGCAGTTTGATATTCGCTAGCTTCGCAGTAGAGTTGAATCGCGAAATTAAAACTTCCGCAAATATTTAAAAAAAAAAACGATTGAAAGGATAAAAAGCATATGTGAAAAATACCAATAGGATTATGTACAGGACCATTTTATAATAATTTTATAAGCAATTCCCCTAACTGAATATGGAGCAAAAGCAAAAAAGCTCTAAAATCATTTTCACTGGAGAACCATGTTTAAAGTAGAGGTAAAGAGACGTTTCAAATGTTCATAACTATGTATGAACGACACTTTATCTTAACTGTATACCAATTAACAATTCTAATTTATAAATATAGATTTAGGAGATTGACATACTTTGATAGTGTTTGACATTGGTCATAGATCTAGATGAGTGACGCAGGATTTTCAGAGCTTCATTATTTTGATTCCCTGTATTTGATAGTCTCTTTTCCATTATGTGCATTTATCTTTTCGTCAGTCATTTGTCCTTCCTGTATCCGGATTAGTTTTGGATTCAGGTAGTTTAACACAAAGTTGTGGTCCTATCAACTTGAAACTTAGTACATATGTTCATTATGATATGAACTTTAAAAGCATATATTAATTTTGGGTTTTGGCCCAGATTTCACAGTTCACTGAACATAGAAATGCGATAGTATGAGTGAGGCAAGGTATCCTATGGAAATGTGATAGTACGAGCGAGGCAAGGTATCCTATGGAAATGTGATAGTATGAGCGAGGCAAGGTATCCTATGGAAATGAGATAGAATGAGCGTGGCAAGGTATCCTATGGAAATGTGATAGTATGAGTGAGGCAAGGTATCCTATGGAAATGTGATAGTATGAACGTGGCAAGGTATCCTATGGAAATGTGATAGTACGAGCGAGGCAAGGTATCCTATGGAAATGTGATAGTATGAGCGAGGCAAGGTATCCTATGAAAATGTGATGGTACGAGCGTGGCAAGGTATCCTATGGAAATGTGATAGTATGAGTGAAGCAAGGTATACTATGGAAATGTGATAGTATGAGCGTGGCAAGGTATCTTATAGAAATGTGATAGTATGAGTGAGGCAAGGTATCCTTTTGAACAATATGCTTGCTTCCATCATGAAAGATGCAAAGAAATATTTTAAAATAAAATTTTTGGAAATGTAAAACCAACAACTTTTAACATGAAATTAGGTATAATGTCTAAACTTCTTACCTTTGAGTAAGCCTTTTCCATTTTCTTATTTGTTCTTGTCTTTTTCAGGTTTTGTTTTCAGTCTTAAAAAAGTCATTGGACTTTTGACAACTTCTCTGTGACTATATAATACAAATTGTATCAATGTTTTGAAAGTAAATGAGTGATTGATATATATGTGACTTTATATAGTCTTGTATTTCCTTTTATGAGGTAGAGGATAAGTGCGAGTGTTTTAAACAATGGAAAGATTGAAGAGATGAAAACGTTTAAACTAAAACCAAAAAAAATGGGATTTTTTATGTTATTTAGCAGTGTTAGGAAATCAATGGGGAAAAATGGAAAATAGCAACAATTTATAATGACAATTTTTTTTTGTCAATTTCTAATGACTATCCCCCATTTCCTCGAAATGAAATTGCTGTTACTTGATATGAACTGATAATATATTTTATACGGACATTTTCACTTGTCTTCTTTGAAATCTTCATTAATTTTTTTTTTTTAAATAATTAGGGAAAAGGTACAATTTCTATGTTGGCGGTCTTCAAATCAGATCTCAGTGTTAGTTGATTTTTGGGTTAGAAATAAAGTAAACAGTAAAAAGTTACATGTAGGATATTTTTCTGATTACAGCTGTATATTTTGAAATATATAACTAGACAACTGATCAAATCTGTGCAATAGCAAAAAGATGTTTTTGTCAAGTCTGTAATGAATGATTGAAGGCAATCAGCATTTAACATTACAAAGATGTTACTTCTAACACCTGCATATATGTTGTATTAACTGCCGGTATAAAGATATTAGATCAGAGCATATACAACATAAAGTGATGCATTTATTGGTGCATTTAGCCATTAAATATCGTGAATGTCTCAAAATTCTTTGGATGAAGCCAATTTGCTAAATACACAATAATTATTTTTACGAATATGTAGTTTTACAGTTAAATCTGTTGACATGATTGATACTGCCACCCAACAAAAGAATTAGCAAATAAAGCACATATTGTGATAATATTTCTGCAGTTAATGAGAACAAAATACTGGAAATATTCTTTCAATGATTTTTTTCTCCCCTCCTCAAAGCAACTGAGGGACATAATTAACTTTTTCCCCCATTCCTCAAGGCAACGGAGGGACATAGTTAAATATTTCCCCCTGTTTCAAGGCAACAGAAGGACATAATTAATTATTTTTCAACCTTCCTCAAGGCAACTGAGGGACATAGTTAATTCTTCTTCCCCTATCTCAAGGCAACTGAGGGACATAGTTAATTTTTTTTCCCCATCTCAAGGCAACTGAGGGACATAGTTAATTATTTTTCAACCTTCCTCAAGACAACTGAGGGACATAGTTAATTCTTCTTCCCCTATCTCAAGGCAAATGAGGGACATAGTTAATTCTTCTTCCCCTATCTCAAGGCAACTGAGGGACATAGTTGAATCTTCTTCGCCTTCCTCAAGGCAACTTAGGGAGATAGTTAAATCGTTTCCCCTTCCTTAAGGCAACTGAGGGACTTAATTCTGTTTCCCCATTCCTTAAGACAACTGAAATTATATAGCCATTCTTTGGTTCCTGAAACATCAAGTTTCCTTCAATTATGTATTTTATTCCTTCAAAAATTGTTTTAGTGTGCAGCAAATTTCAGTTTAAGATGTATTGCGCTTGACCTATTTTTAGCTTACCTGGCATAAAGGGCCAGGTGAGTTTTTCTCATCACTTGGCATTTGTCTCTGTCAACTAAAAAAAAAATCTTCTCCTCTGAATTTACTAGACCAAATATTTGTCTCTGTCAACTTAAAAAAAATTCTTCTCCTCTGAATTTACTGGGCCAAATATAACCAAACTTGGCTACAACCATCATTGAGGTATCTAGTTAAAACAAAATGTGTCCAATGATCCTCTTGCCAACTTACATGTCAAACATGGCTAAAAATAGGGCATAATAGTAAGAAGCAAGTTTTGTCTATTAACTTGAAAACCACTAAATAGAAAAATCGAACAGAAATGTTCATATCATATCATGAAAACTGTCAGCCGACTTCTTATTGCAGTTATTGCCCATTAATGATGATTTTTACCATTGGGGGGGGGGGGGGGGGGGGGGGGGGTTGCCAAATATCTTACAAACTATAGTTTGGAGGGAGGTCTTTCTTTGGGCAATCCTGACACCCGAGGTATGTTATACGACAAGAAAAACCTTAAAATATGCATTATCTGACTTATATACCGTCAAAAAATATTATTTTCTGCAAACATTTGCAAGATTTCTATCCTATTTTACTGACCACACTAAAGTGGGATATTCTTTTCTAATGCGTTCTGGTTTTAATACGCCCTACGACTCATTTGAAATGTGAAATAAAACTTACTAACTAATCTAGATATAAGCTGTAGCAATCAGTATCCAGTTACAAAAGAAATATCACTAAATGCATGAAGCAAGACACACATGAAGTGTTAACGTGTATGAAAAATACAATCACCTTGTAAGTAATTTATTATGAACTTAGTTTATGAAAGGGGGATGCTATGTTTTTTTTCCTATTTTTTCAATTTTTTCGTGACATTTTCATCGCGGAAAAGCAGATTATTTTTAAACATTTTCTTTTACGAGCTGTTCAAAATTATTGTTTTCATTTTTGAATGACATTTTTTTTTTAACAGAGAACTTTGGCAGAATTAAATATCATACTCCCCCCCCCCAACCAAATTCAATCATAAAGCACGTGGCTGTTATTCTATAGAAATAAGAATATTTAGTCATTTGATCATTTGATAGAGTAAAAGGTATAGGTATATGTAGTATAATAAATTCAGAACTGACACGAATAGAGCACGAAATCGTGATACATGTACTGTACATATAACACGAAAAACGAATATCCATAGGTCAATGTATGATTTCCAATACATTGTGACTCAATGAGATTTTCAAAATCCTACACACTAATGTGTTAAATCTAGTTTGTTTTATTAGTGTAATGAAGGGTTTTGCATTATTAAATTCATCTCAAATATTGTCCCTTTATTGTAGCGATAAATGACCAAAATTTTACATTATTTGTTTCGAACGTTAAAATGTGCGTCCACGACGATTTTTTGTAATTAAGTCTAAAAAACAGGACAGGATTGTTTATGTCTTTATCCACAGCACACGATAACTATCAAACGAATTAAATGTTTAAGTAAATAATAGTTTGAATTTTAATCAAGGAAAATAATGACCTTACACAGGTAATTATTTTATGCCTTAAAGCAAATTTCATTGGAACTTGGTATCGTCCGGGTTGATTCTTTTAAAGAAAGACCTGTCGTTCTGAAAGAAAATAACTCCACATAGGTATATAAACAATTTCAATTCAAAATCCAATATTAACTGATAAATATCAAAATTAAATGCTTCATTATAAATTACTCGTTTCTTTTGATAGCATTGCATAATACTTGTATCCAGTTGTATTTACCGGAATGAAAAAAGTATATAAATCAACATGGAACCAGCTAATGCATTACAATGTATAAACTACAAAATGTAATTTGTTATTCATTCCGTGTTGGTGCTTCATACTGACACATGTGTTTTGTTTTAACTGTTAATTATTAATGTTGTGAAAATATTTATTAGTATTTAACTAAAGAACTGAACTGTCCTAGTTTCAAAGTCATATTCTAGAAGTAATTATGAAGAAAAGTTTTTTAGAACACTCTCACCGTAATTAATTTAATATGCAACACAACTTTCCAAATTGTTAATTCATGATTTCGACTTATTTTAACACTATTGGAGTGTTCTAGAATCAATTACAAGTATTTTCAACTTCTACTTTTTGACCTCTTTTCCATGAAAATACCACAAACGATCACACATGATTTACTTGAGTTTCATTAGAAGTTCAAGGAGTTGCAAAAAAACATTTTCCTGTATTCTCGTGGGGAAAAGGGAGGTGTGGACGATGTACCAGTGTGGACTTTACAAGGCTGATTAAGGTTGATAGAAACTTTAAATAAAAAAATGATCAGCAAGGAAAGATCATAAAGTAATTCTAATGGCAGAAATCCTCTGTTGACTCCTTATTGGAGTAAGTGCTCTAGATCTGTAATGAAGATTTTTACCATTTTTTGCCTTTTACATTGAAAACTATAATAGATAGATATGCACTTTAAATAGCAAAAATGAGTCTCAAGACAAGATCTATAAAAAAGTAAAATTTTGCTGAAATTGTTACACTCTTCATTATAGGAGTGATTACACTTTAATGACGATTTGTTGTACCTTTTTTGTGTTTTGGACAACAAATTTGGAAGGAGATATGAGAAAATGCCTTTTTATTTTAGGCCAAACCTATGGTTGTCCAGGTGGATGGGTTAGTTATAAATCAAACTGCTATTTGATTGCTAGAAACAAAACCACATGGAATGCTGCCAGATCTATTTGTAGGAAGAATGGCGCTGATTTAACTTCGATTGCAGAAGAAGGAGAACAGGATTTTATTACAAGCCAAATCCCTAAAAGTAAGTAAGGTAAATTAAGGCCTCAATTATTGATGGAGAGAAGACCTTTACTTATCAACTTGTCTGTCTGGACTGCCACAAATCCTTTCAGCTCTCTTAGACTCTTAAACTCCTTACAGTTTTGTAATGAATTTGACATTTTATTCACCACTTTGCATACAAGGAAGAATATCCTAGAGAAAAGTTCAAGGTCAAAAACCTTAGTTCCACTTAGTCTCCCCTGTGCATATGTAAAACAATTGCACGACTCTAACATTCAAACCCTGTGCAGTTTAGTAATATATATATTCATTGATATATTTATTGATTATATATATTATTCACTTCTACTTAAAGGTGTGTTGTTCTTAGTTCAACTCAGCCTTTGCTGTGCGTATGTACAAAGATTGTTTCAGCCTTAAAACCAATAGCAGTATGAGGTTGAATTTGAGGTGCATCAATATATAAATCTCTGCCTTCCATGAGTATATCAGTAAGCTATGTTTAAATCGAATAAAAATATGATGTGGTATGATTGCCAATGAGCCAACTCTCAACTAGAGACCAAATGACAGAAGTTTATAACTATATGTCACCGTACGGCCTTCAACAATTTGCAATCCCATACCGCATCGTCAGCTATAAAAGGCCCTGAAATGACAAATGTAAAACAATTCAAACGAGAAAACTATTTGCCTCATTTATGTACAAAACAATGAAAGAAAAACAAATATGATATACAGGAACAAATGGCAACCGGTGAATTACATGTCCTGGCATGGGATAGGCACATACAGAATGTTGCAGGGTTCAACTAGTTTGTTGGTGCCAACCCCCCTTCACAATTTATGCTAACAAAATCACTATCCACTTGTCTCACCTCTTATCTGTCAGGCATTTAATAATTTGAATGCATAAGACTTGATCATAAAGTATTAATTATAAACTTGACAGTTTATATTTCACTGCCCTGTTTTACCCTGTAAATGCAAATAAAAGCAAATGCAAAATTAACCTGAAGCATGGTACACAGTGTGATATATTAAAAGATCCGGCAAAAGAGAGTGTGAGAAGAATCCAGTATAGATAGCAAGGTTGTGTCTAAGGATCTGTTATCCTAAAGAGGCGAAATATACCAAAGGGACATTCAAACTCATTATTTAAAAACAAACTGACATTGCCATGGCAAAAAACTAGAAATGATCAAAAGACAAACAACAGTATACAAAACACAACATAGAAAACCCAAACCCCACCAAAAACTTGGGGATGCTCTGGAAGGGTAAGCAGATCTTTATCCACTTGTGGCACACAATCAGAATTTTTGTGTGTGATAAAGGTAATGTCGGGAGAATCCAGTACAAATGGGCAGGTTATGATGTGACTTTGAGGCTGTAATCTATTAATTGACTTCTATTTTTAGCTCATTGCTACAACATCCATTCCAATGATACTCAGTGTGATTTATGGAGAGATCAAGGAGAATGTCAGAAGAACCCAGTATGGATGGCAAGGTCGTGTCATAAGAGCTGTAACTTGTGTATTCGGGATTGTAAAAACATCCATTATTCTGTGGAGTGTGACCACTGGGCTAGTGTTGGTGAATGTTACAAAAACCCATCTTATATGCTACAGAATTGTCCATTGTCATGTGGAATTTGTGATTCAGGTAATGTTGTATGATTTTATCTAAATGATGTGTCTTTTGCCTATTGATATTGATATTCGAAAAAAATATGCCTCACTATCACAAAGCCCATGTGTGCTGATGCAGTTCTATTCTTCCATCAGTCAACCTTCCATCAGGATAAATAAACTTGCAAATCAATTTTTTTTTGTAATTCATGAATAAAATAAAATTATTTTTGCTGTATCATTAATATTTTTAAGCTCATCTGTCCAAAACTTTAAATATAATCTTTGCTCACTGAATATGTATGATGTCTGTTGATTTTATTGATATTTTTATCAGTTCCTATCATGTTATCTGTTCCTATCATGCTATCTGTTCCTATCATGTTATCTGTTTCTATCATGTTATCTGTTATTATCATGTTATTTGGGCAAATTGAACCACATTTGTCAGGAAATAAACCTGACTAGAAGAGAAAAAGTTGTTTCTGATTGTCGATTTTATTTTTGAACGTATTAGCAAGTTCTGTTTTGTTCTGAAAATGAAAAAGGTAGAAAAAACACTATGACTTTAAGAAGAAGAACAGTATTAAAAGTGCTGTTTTTTTGCTTTTCTCTTTTTTACATGTGTGTGTGTGATTTGTGACATGAATTGATACACCATATCCTTTCATTTCCGGTATAGTGTTTACGATGCAGAATATGACGAAAATGGCAAAACAGGCTTCTTGAAGATTTTTTTTTCTATTTTCAGCTATCTATGGTGGATTTTGGATTGGATTTAGTGATACTGCATTCCAAATGAATTTTAAATGGTCAGATGATAGCACTGTCGAATATACGAAATGGGCAAAATCTGAGCCCAACAATTGGAATGGTCAGACACGGGAGGATTGTGTTATTATTCTTCTGAAGGTGTGTATAGTTGTATTGTCATTTGCTCATTGCAAAACATTTGGTTTGTACTGTCATTTGCAAGTGAATTGAAATCGTGTATGGTCATTTGAAAATCATTTGAAGGTTTGTACATGTACAGTAATGTGCAAATCATTTAATTTAAAATGTCTTTTGCAAGATATCTGAAGGCTTGAATGTATAGTAATTTTTGAATCATCTGAAGGCTTTATAAAGTCATTGACCTGTTTCTTTCTTTACCTACTTGACTTAGTATTAGTGATACAAAGCCATAATAATGATGAAAAAAGACCTACAAAATAGAATTAGGGTTAAAAAAATTTGGACCACTTGCCACACACACTGGGCATTTGTTCATCATCAAAAACTGTATGATGACTTCAAGATGTCTTAAGTTGTTATATAATATTGTTACATTGCTGGCTCATTAATATTTACCCCCATATCTCCTTTTGATAAAAGAATACCATAACTTATTCTAACTTGTTTATCACACAGAATGGAAAATGGAATGATGTTCCTTGTGACATGGCCAATGCTGGATTTATTTGTAAGAAGAGGAAGCAGGTTTTAGATGAAGTTACACAGTCACCACTAGCTGTTGGTTGTGTCAATGTAAGTTTTTCAAGAAAGAAAACATCCACAATAAAGGAATAACAGTACTGTATTTGAAGAGTTGCCAACATCGATTGGGGATTTGACAGTCACGAATGCAGTTTTACTGGAGATGCACATGCACCAATGACTTCTATTGTTAACTATGGACAGACTTAACCCAGTCAAAACTGGAGATACATGATCTATTGCATAAGAATTATCATTATTTTATTGATAGTTTTACTTTGAAGCAATTACTGCATGTCCTGGTGTAGGTACAGTTAATGAGAAAACCTTGTCATCACAACTCTTCTTTGCAGTTCATGATTTATCATTTCCACATGGAAGATGATACTTTGATAGATACTTATATGTAGATGTGCAAGTGGGTAAGATATTTCAGCCCATTTCTTTTTTTCTAGAGCAATGCCCCATTGAACTTAAAAAGTTTTGTCCTTGTCCAGCTTCTACCTTGTCATTGCAACTCCTCAAAGATGGTTCATTATGTCTATATAAAACTTAGTATATTGTTAGATCCTGATATGCAAATATGCATGTATGTAGGATTCATATGCATCTGAGACAACATCAAACAAAGAAAGACAAAATTTATATAATATTTTCTGATTCCCTTTGAACAGTTGCTCTCACTACACCCTGTTCATATAGATGAATGGAAGAGCCTTCTTTTTTCCCCAATTTGACAGTTGTTTTGCCGTATAATAAAATGTGTTTTCTCACGTAGACGCTTTCTCTTAATGGTATTGACCACATTTTTAGCTCACCTGGCTGAAAGGCCAAGTGAGCTTTTCTCATCTTTTGGCATCCTTCGTCTGTCATCTGTTGTTGTCGTTGTCATCCATTAATTTTTACAAAAATCTTCTCCTGAAACAAGTGGGCCAAATTTAACCAAACTTGGCCACAATCATTATTAGGGTTTCTAGTTTAAAAAATGTGTCTGGTGACCCCGCCTGTCAACCAAGATGGCCGACATGGCTAGAAATAGAACATAGGGGTAAAATGCAAGTTTTGCCTTTAAAAAAAACCCGCTATAAATAAAGAAAATCTGACAGGAGAAAAAATATCAGAATGTTGAGCTCTACCTGTTGTTAAATTAGGTCAAAACAGTCAAACGATTTCTTATAGGAGTCCTTTCCCTTATATGAAAAAAATGCTACTTTTTAAAACAATGTTGGCCTATTGTCTCTAAAATAATAATAGATAGGCAGACATTTTAAAAAGCAAAAATGATCAGCACAACAGGATCTTCAAACATGTCAAATAAGTCAATATTGCCGAAATCTTCTGTCGACTCCTTATTAGAGCTACAATTTATTGCCCTGTCATGATGAGTTTTACCAATTTATTCCGTTTTTGCCTCATGTCTTAAAAACTTTAATAAATAGATAAAAACTTTAAAAAGCAAAGACGATCAGCAAGACTTGATCTACTAATAAGTCAACGTGACCGAAATTGTAAGTCAACGTTTTATTGAAGTTATTGCCCTTTAATGGCCATTTTTTTCATTTTGGCCTATTATCTTGAAAACTGTAAAAGATAGAAACTTTAAATAGTAAATGATCAGCAAGACAAGATCTACAAATAAGCCTTAATGGTCGAGATCTTCAGTCGACTCATTATTTGATTTTTTGCCCTTATATGATAATTTTTAACTTTTTTATGCATTGTTTGCCTATTATCTTGAAATCTACAATAGATAAGTAGAAACTTCAAAAAGTAAAAATTATCAGCATGATAAGATCTACAAAAGTGTCAAAATGACTGAAATTGTCAGTTAACTCTTAATAAGAGTTATTCCCCTTTAATGATGATTTTTACAGGTAAGCGACACAGGTTTTTAAGAGCCACTAGTTGCAGAGTGTATTGATGTGTTAACTAGGCCAATTAATTCAAAAACTGAAATAAAATTCCAAAGACTTTCATTTCTGGGTGCGAGTTAAATTAATCTGATCATCAATTACTTTCTTGGAACCCAAGGATTCTATTCATGTGTACATGTACTCTGCAAGAAATACCACAGTGAAATCGACAGGGTGTTACCATTGGTTAGAATGTAGTTCATGCAACATGGAAAGAAAGAAATTCTAATGGACCAATTACATTCTAATATTTGTAGATACGCAAATCATATAAAAACCACTTATGAATAAAAGGGAATGAGGAGTATATTCTAATAAGACAGCAACCCAAGGACAAAAGAAAGCCAAATAACATCTTGTTTATTTACAGAACACCATTGGTTACGATGCTTACTGTTATGGAATCAATGATGAAATGACAGATTGGGCAACAGCAGAGAGTGGTTGTGCTCAAGTTCAATATGGACATCTGGCTACAATAAACAATGTGTAAGTAAATCCGTTTTTTTTTTGAGTTTGCAAGAAATTTAGAACTGTGCTCAAATTTAATGTTGACGTCAATAACCATTGTGTTAGTAAAGAGCATTACAGAATTAATATGACATCTGGCAATAGTAGCTAATATGTAAATAACAGTTCTCAACCTTGCCTGTATTTTGGCAACAATGGACAGTGCAAAAAAACTGCTCATGATCAAAATAGACAATCAGACCCCAAAACAAGTGAGTGGTCATGATCAAAATAAAAATCTGTAAAAACAATGTTGTATAAGTAACTGCTCATGATCAAAATGGACATTTGACAAAAATAAATAGCATATGAGTAACTGCTCATGATTGAAATGGACATCTGACAACAATAAATGAAATATAAGTAACTGCTCATGATTAAAATAAACATATGTAAGAAATATGGTATATAAGTAACTGATAGTGATCTAAATGGACATTTGACAAAAAGAAATGATTTATCATATCCACATGGAAGATTGTACATAGATAGATTTTCCACTTTTTCTAAAGTTCATTACATGGCAGTATGTAGTGAATAAGTTTCCATCTAAATATTTTCAATCTATTTTCACTGAGGTATTGAAAAATAAAGACAAATTATTTTTGAACTTAGAATTTATATTTTTCTCAAATGATTTTTCCCACGTAAGAAAACCATTATTCATATGTCCATTTTGATATTGAGGAGTTACTTATATATCAGGAACCGTTTTGATCATAAACAGTTACTAATACACCATTTCTTTTTGTCAAATGTCAATTTATGTTAGATAGCTTCCATTTTTCATAACAGTAATTTTCTGTAAAATTCCACAATTATTCCGTCAAGCCCATGAGCTTTATTACGTTTCATATTTAAAAATTGCATCAGTACATTCATCAACAGTTAATACTCCTTCACAAGTATGACTTTCACTGTCATTTGATTTCTTATATTCCTTGATACAATCTAGATACTTCTTTTGTTTCTTCTATCTCAGGATGTTTTGTAGAGTACAAATGTTTATAATAATTTGCGTCTTATCTTAATATTTTTTCTTGATCTCTTGTAACTTGACCCTTATTGTCATGTAGCTGGGTTATTGTTTTTCTACTCTGCCTAGATTAGATTTTTCCATCCCTAGAAAATATGCTGAATTTTTCTCTCCTTCATCAACCCATTTTACCTGTGCCCTTATTTGGTTACCCTTTATTTTCTCATGATAGAGTTTTCCTATTTCCTATCCTATATTTTTCTACTTGATGTAATAAGTTATTATTATTTTGATCATTGCATGTGTGTCTATGATACTATTTAGCCGAGTTAATTTTTATTCCAACTTGCTGATTTGATCTTTCTATTCTTAACTTTTGTTTTACAATGACTGATTGTCTGGTCTCTAACTTCAATTTTAAAATTATCCCACAGACTATCAAGATCAGTTTTCATTTTTGCTTTATTTTCACAATTATTTCAACATAGTCTTTATTTTGTATAACACTAAAGTTTAGTTTCCAGTATCCCTTTCCCTTTTGGCCTCTGCTTAAATTCATTTTTAAGGAAACACAGCTGTGGTCTGTGTATTGTAATACTATTGGTCTAATGTCACATGAAACTCAGTTTTTGAATACTTCAGGAGCTATAAAAAAATAATCTACTCTTGTAGACTCAGATCTATCTTTTCGACTCCATGTATGATGTACTGGGGACTTTGCTTAGGCTCAGTATGGACATTTTGCAACTAAACAATATTAGATAATATGAAAGTAAATGTACCCAGTTTCAATATTGACTTTTAATGACAACAACTTATATAAAGACTGTTATATAGATCAGATCTGTATTTTCATTAGCTAAATCAGTATGTAAACAAATATGATGGATGAGGTAATATATCCCATAACAGTTTTAAAAGCTACTTTTATGGAATATTTCATTTTTGGTATGTTATATTTATCACTAAATGATTTTTCCCCATTCATTCTGACCATATGTTTTATTCATTATGACTCAGGTACACACAGTTGTTTTTAGCTAGTCAGATAGTTGGTAAATCTGGACACTATTGGATTGGTCTTACCCAGGATGTTAACCCTGGTGCCATGGTTTCTTGGACTAGTGGTCTTCCAGTATCATATACAGCTTGGGCCAGGAGTCATACAGGTAATCTTAATTGTTTGTTTGCATTTAACAAAGTTTTTTTGTTTGTCTACATTGAATGTGGTATTATTTGTATGTCTGCATTGGATGCAATCAACAGTTTTTTCTATGACGTCATATTTTGAGGGACCATGCATAAGTGAACTTTAGGGGTGGTATTGTTAATAAAGATACTTGTATAAAACTAGATATCACTGGAATCAGAATGTTCTCGAGTTAATGATGAAATACGATTAAAGTGTAATTTTAACATAATGAAAAAGTTCTATCCCGAGAAAGTGAAAAAAAAAAAGCTCAGTCTCAACATGAAAAGCCTGAAATCAGGTCATGTACATATGATACAGGCACATTTCAGATAATCCAAACTGTATGAATTTCATGGATTTTTACCTGGTCTTTTAAAAAATTCTCGCTTCAGGGTACGTTAGCCTGGTTCGGATAGAGCTACAGTAGCTACAAATAAGTTTTCAATTTTCACTACCAAAAAAACCTGGAAGTTTACAGTGTTGTCTCAATTATTCAACCTGTTTTAATAGAAAGCTAATTAACTAATTTTTACCATCAAATACAAAAAACATGATACTTTTTCACCAGTTATGTAAATAAAAAGGGATTTCCATCCATGGCTATTTTAAGTCGGGGGAATAACCCCTAGTTTTTTTTTATATGAAACTGTTTATAGCACCCTTAAGCTAAACCTAATATTCAATATATAGATAATTCTCAGTTTTTCTGAATCTTTACATTATACCAAATAAAATGATGTATTATTTTGAAGATTTTGACCATAAATAGTGAAACTACAGCTCTTTTTAAATGTCGCATAGTTTTGGTATATTGGCCAATGCCAAATAGTTTAACTGGCATATTCCAAACATTTTCTGTATCACATTTTCATCAATTTTACAAAGAAAAAATCATAAAATTTGGTTTCTTTAGAATAAATAGAATGAAAACTTGAAATAAGCATAAATAAAATTACTTTAAACATATTTTGTTTCTAGTATTATATGAACTAAGTTGTAACAGAGTTGCGAAAAATGTTGAAATAGTGTATTTCTTAGGAATCACTCTTGTAGCTTTTTGACTATAAAAAGTACCAAATATATAAGATAATGAATAAAAATGTATGTTGCACTGATCAGTAGTAAAGACCAAAGTAGGAAAATTCTACACTTTTTATGTGCAATTTTTGGTTCCAATTATACGAGAGAGTGAATAAAAATATCATGTTGTCGCACAAAGATGAAAAAACTTCAAAATTTGTACAGAGTATGGTTTTCTTATATCTGGTTGCTATGTTCAAATCTGTAATATTTGCATTAAATATACCAAACTGATGCTTTGAAATAAATGTATACATGCCATACAATATTTTTCAGAATTGTTTTACTGCATACATTAACACATTTCTATGCTAGAAACTCACGATATCATATGTGTGTTGCTTTAAGGGTGCAATCAACAGTTTTTTTTTATGATGTCATATGTTGAAAGACCATGCATAAGTGATTCTTAGTGGTAGTATTGTTAATAAAGATACTTGTATAAAACTAGTTATCACTGGAATCAGAATTTTCTTTAGTTTATAATGAAATAAAACTAAAGTGTAATTTTAACATAATAAACAAGTTCTATCCCGAGAAAATGAAAAATAAAATGCCCAATCTCAACATAAAAAACCTGAAATCAGGCCATGTGCATACCGATGTAGGCATGATACAGGCACATTTCAGATAATTAAAACTGTATGAATTTCATAGATTTTTACCTGGTCTTTTAAAAAATTCTCGATTCAGGGTACGCTTGACTGCTTCGGCAAGAGCTACAGTAGCTACAAATAAGTTTTCAATTTTCGCTACCAAAAATAAAACAGGAAGTTTACAGTGTTGTCTCCTCTTAAAACATGTATATTTAAATTAATTTTTAAAATTATTTTAATCATTCAACCTTTTATAATTGAAAACTTACTAACTAATTTTTACCATCAATTACAAAAAACATGATACTTTTTCACCAGTTATGTAAATAAAAAGGGATTTCCCTCCATTGCTATTTTTAGTTGGGGAATAACCCCTAGTTTTTTTTTTTTATACGAAACTGTTAATAGCACCCATTGAATGTTGTACTATTTGTTTGTCTGCATTGAATGTGGTAATATTTGTTTGTCTGCAGTTAATGTGGTAATATCAATCACACCTTATAAAACAAAAGCTAATCAGAAGCTTAGGATAGGCAAAGCAATCATTGCTAAATCGCATTTGACACCCTTAAAGAACAGTTCAATGTCACATGTGAAGATAAAATAAAAGTATAACGCTGTCAATATTGGATATGAAGAACACAAATGCAGTTTAAAAGGAATATTTGCAACTGTGAAATCACCAATTGACAGCAGCAACTCTTCAAATACAGGTATTTTATTTCTATTCACTGCAATGCTTTGTAATAAATTGTTTCAAATTAAAAATTTGAAATGTCCCAAAAAAATCATCTGTGTTGGCGCAATGTTGTTGATCAGACCTTCAACCATAGAATTGATTGCAGATGTCGTCTAATCAGAAGAAGCATTTCATGTCATATTATATTACAATGGCAGTGTAATTGAGACTAGAGTCTAGACTACAAAAAGCAGAACATATTTGTAGTCTGTTGATATACATACATTCATTTATGTTGATAAAAACTAATGATTAGACAAAATCTTATATTATTCTAGCCATTCTTTCAAGAAGTATTTCTTCTCTATTGATATTTAGACATGGTCAAAATATTGACAAATAATGATTTATTTTAGGGAGTATTGATGAAGATGCTATGTGTGTTGCCATGACAGCAACCCATCCTATTGGATTATGGGAAACCAAAAACTGTACATTAGAAAAGTCCTACATTTGTGAATATCCTAGAGAAGGTTACACTACACCTACAACTACAACTACTACAGTAGCACCTGTATTCTGTCCTCCATCTTGGTTGGGGTTTAATGGTTATTGTTATAAGGTAGGATAACTCCTGATTTTAAGTTTTCAATAGTAATCCCCTTAGCTTATTAGCTCACCGGACCCAAAGGGTCACGTGAGCTTTTCTCATCACTTGGAGTCCGTCGTCCGTCGTCCGTCGTCGTCGTCGTCGTCGTAAACTTTTACAAAAATGTTCTCCTCTGAAACAACAGGGCCAAATTAAACCAAATTTGGCCTAAATCATCCTGAGGGTATCTAGTTTAACAAATGTATCCGATGATCGCGCCCACCAAACAAGATGGCCGCCATGGCTAAAAATAGAACAAAGAGGTAAAAAACTGTTTTTATCTTATATTTTTGAAACTAAAGCATTTAGAGCAAATCTGACTGGGTAAAAATATTCATCAGGTCAAGATCTATCTGCCCTGAAATTTTAAGACGAATCAGACAACCCGTTGTTTGGTTGCTGGTTTTTGGTTATTATTATGAATATTATAATAAATAGAGATAAACTGTAAACAGCAAAAATGTTCAGCAAAGTAAGATCTACAAATAAGTCAACATGTCAAAATTGTAAATTGACCCCTTAAGGAGTTATTGCCCTTAATAGTCTATATTTTTACAATTTTTGTAAATTTTTGTAATCTTTTACAAAAATATTCTCCTGAAATTACTGGGCCAAATTAAACCAAACTTTGCCTTAATCATTCTGAGGGTATCTAGTTTAAAAAATGTATCCGATGACCCAGCCAACTAATCAAGATGGCCACCATGGCTGAAAATAGAACAAAGAGGTAAAATACAGCTTTTGGCTTATATCTCTGAAACTAAAGCATTTAGAGCAAATCTGACAGGATAAAAATGTTCATCAGGTCAAGATTTATCTGCCCTGAAATTTTTAGACGAATCAAACAAACCGTTGTTGGGTTGCTGCCCCTGAATTGGTAATTTTAAGGAAATTTTGCAGTTTTTGGTTATTATTATGAAAATTATAATAAATAGAGATAAACTGTAAACAGCAAAAATGTTCAGCAAAGTAGGATCTACAAATAAGTCAACATGTCAAAATTGTCAATTGACCCCGAAAGGAGTTATTGCCCTTAATAGTCAATTTTTCACAATTCTTTGTAAATTTTTGTAATCTTTTACAAAAATCTTCTCCTGAAATTATTGGGCCAAGTTAAACCATACTTGGCCAAAATCATCCTTAGGGTATCTTGTTTAAAAAATGTATCCGATGACCGCGTCCACCTACCAAGATGGCGGCCATGGCCAAAAATTGAACATAGAGGTAAAATGCAGTTTTTTGGCTTATATCTCTGAAACTAAAGCAAATAGAGCAAATATAACGGGGTTAAAATGTTCATCAGGTCAACATGATCAAAATTGGCAATTGATCCTATAAGGATTTTTGCCCTTTAAAGTAAAATTTTAACTTTTTTTCGTAAATTTTTTTAATCATTTACAAAAATCTTCTCCTCTTAATCTACTTGGCCAAATGGAATTAAACTTAGCCACAATTATTATAAGAGTATCTTGATTGAAAAATGTATCCGCTAACAACCAACATAGTCCCCATTGGTAAAATAGAACATAGGGGTTCACTATAAAAGTCTATGGGAAAAATGTAAAAAAAATCAATTTCAAATGGTCACAACTTGAAAACTAATTTAAATAATGGTAAGGGGTCTTCAGTAACTATTGTAAGACTACAACGGGATGACTTGATTTTTTTTCCAGGGGGTGCAATTTTTTCAGGAGGGGGGGGGGGTGCTAATAATTTCTCCTTGGTATGTTCCATTTTCAGAATTATTCAGTGTTACTTTTTCTATAAACCATTATTATATCTTTTCTTTCAGCATATTTATATTGGGTGAATGCCCCCCAGACCCGGCGGTTAGTCGGGGTCAGGGGAACCCCTGCCCAAATGTTTTGGAAGGGTGTTCCAGGAAAACATTTAAAGGCATTTTCAGCATTATACAGGCCCTGGGTGAAATAATTTTTCGAGCGGAGGAAAGGAATTTTTTTATTTTTTGTTAAATATCATTATAGATTGAGATATACTGTTAACAGAAAAAATATCAAGCAAAGAAAGATCTACAAATAAGTTAACATGACCAATTGGCAATTGACATCTTATTGGAGTTATTGTCCTTTAAAGTTATTTTCTGCAATGTTTTGGAAATTTTTGTAAATCTTTTCAAAAATCTTCTGCTTTTAATTTAACTACTGGGCCAAATTAAACCAAACTTGGCCTCAATCATTATTTGGGTATCTATATGATTTTAACCTAATTTTACATGATTTCCAAAACCACAGTAGATACAGGTGAGCAACACAGGCTCTTGAGAGCCTCTAGTTTTTTTTTACTTTCCCACACCCAGATCTACATCTACAACCACTACATTGCAATCTGAAAACTAGACAATTTTCGAATTATTGCACTATTGTAAATTTCCTATGTCACAATGCTTATGTTATTACGTCACAGTAAGAACTGAAAGTTTGGGTCAACCAGTGTAATCCATTCTTAAAAAACAACTCGAGATTGGTGTATTCAGGGATAAGGGAGTACAAACAATGGTTTAGTGTTTTCAATAGTTACCTCCCTTCCTTTTATCTTTCTGATACACTGTATGAAACTTTAAATCTACCATTAAAATTCAAATTTTACGAACGCCATCACGAGTTGGTTGACCGTTATGGAATATCCGTTATACAGATGATATCGGATATGTTCCTTATGTCGTAACTACAATCCCGTTCCCTTTTCACGAATGTGACCTACCGAATTGGATTTTTTACCGGCTTTGTAATAACATGAGCAACACGACGGATGCCACATGTGGAGCAGGAACTGCTTACCATTCCGGAGCACCTGAAATCACCCCCATTTTTTGGTGGGGTTCGTGTTGTTGTTGTATCCCTATTTGTGACTTTTTGTTCACGCATCGTTGTCAATATAATGGAATTTGATGCGACTGTCGTACAAGTGAGAGGTTTAGCGCTATAAAACCAGGTTCAATCCACCATTTTCTACATAAGAAAATGCCTGTACCAATTCAGGAATATGACAGTTGTTGTCCATTCGTTTGATGTGTTTGTGCTTTTGATTTTGCCTTTTGATTAGGGACTTTCCGTTTTGAATTTTCCTCGGAGTTCAGTATTTTTTTTTATTTAACTTTTTTCCACAACATCTGTGAAATCAAAATCTGCAAATTGTCCTCTTTCATTTTCATGATTTAAAGGTTGTGTTAAAATTAACCACTTGTTTAGATAGTTACTAGGGGGACATGGAAATACCGGGCGTCCGACCGTCCGTGTGTCCGTCTGTCCGTCCGGTCTTGTTAGTGCTCTCACAGGTACAATTCTTGCCAGATTTTTATAAAAATTATACTATAGGTTAATATCAGCAATATCTCGGACTAGTGATATAATGGTGGACTCAGTAATTAATTTTGGAGCTACACCCTCTGTTTTAGCCTAATACAAATGTGTGTTCCTCAAATATTACCTATCACTGAAAAAAGGAATAAAATACAAATTGAATACAAAATTATATAAGAATGTTACCTTAAGGATAAAAACTTTCTTTGAATACAAAAAAAAATGTTTTTATTAAATATTTTATTTTAGTTCAAAAGAATCAGATTAAAAGCTATGGAATAATTTTAATTTTATTTTGACAAAAGTAAAAGTTCTGCATTAAAATTTTATCTAGTTAAGAGAATACTAGTACATTAATGGTAATGCTGTAATCTTACAAAAATTGGGAATGTGTAGTTTAACTATCATGACAATTAACTTGATCAAGGATTTGTATACTATACAATCCTTGACACGAACAATTAAAAACGTTGATAAAAATGTCGATAAAAAATCTCCATTTTTGAGGGCCAACTCCAGCTGAAAATATTCAAATATCCAGTTGTGACAAAACAACTCTGTCACCTGTATGATCTCCAGTCCAATTTTCATTCATTTTAAATACAGTTTTTGATGTTGCTGCATAGGAGTTGAGACATGTTGCTGAGTGAACACTAAGTAGTAACTGAAAAGTCAAAAACCCAGAAATGTTATTGACCAATTTTGAAAGGTTCACTATAGGGAAATGTTACTGTTATTTTTATGGCCCTCCGGGCCATATAGTTTTACTCTTATCTGTCATTCCGTCATTTCACAACGAGCAGTTATACAGACTTTTTTTCCCTAAATGCCTTCACATATTGAGCTGATTTTTAGTATGTGAGACTACTATGATGAGTTACAGATCAAGTTTAAGATTGGTTCCACTCCGCTGATTTTTACTGAAATTAGGGGCTTTTGAATTTTGTGAAAATAACAGTTATACACACTTTATTTTCTTAACACCTTCACATTTTTAGCTAACTTTTAGTATGTGAGTCTTCTACGACGAGTTACCGTTGGAGTTAACGTTTGGGTCTGCTCTGCTGATTTGTGCCGAAATTATGGGCTTTGGAATTTTAAAATTTTGTGAAAATAACAGTTGTAGACTTTCGTTTTCAAATTTCCACGCCTTAAAATGGTTTTTGCCAGATGACTGACTTTGGACTGAAAACTTTGTTAAACAGTTATACAGACTTTTTTTCTAAAATAATTCACATATCGAGCTGATTTTTAGTTGGTGAGTCTACTATTTTGTGAAAATAACAGTTGTAGACTTTCGTTTTCAAATTTCTACTCCTTAAAATGGTTTAAGCTTTTTTTTTTGCGAGCGGGGTCATTCGTGTTGTTCTGACACATCTAGTTAAATTCTAATTTGTCAAAATGGCTTTTACAAGGACATTGAGACTGCCTAACATAACTTTTAAACAAGATGAAAATGGATTATTTAATAGGTCCAATTTATGAATTCGCTTGCAGTCAAGTCTTTACTGTACTGGTAAATAACAACTGCTGAACAGTATGAATATAGACTGAACAGATCTTAATTGACTCCCAGTGAATTGTCTGAACAGTACCGCATTTACTGAGGTGGATAAGTTGGAATATGGACGGAAAGACTGAAAATGACTTGATAATTAATGTTCAGTCTTAAAGAGCTGTTTAGATCAAAATGACCGTTTGTATCAAAACTGGTTTTCTAGTTTATAGATATTATAGTGTGGCCAGACAGCATTAACTTTATATTTATGACCGATGTTATGTTCTCAAGTTGAAAAAAACCATAACCTGTTGAACTTAAATGAAATAAACTAGATGAACAGTGTTTCAGTTTTCTAATCATGTAATACAATTTGCCTTGAAAAGATCGTGGTCTTTGTAAATAATGACATGGTCAATATTTGTTCGGTTACCTTAACTGGTTTTGTGTTTTCTTTGTTAAAGACTATATACAAGAGTGCTGATCAAAGAACTTGGATGAAAAGCCGTGACTTCTGTCGCGAGAGAGGAGCTGATTTAGCCAGTATTCACAGTAGTGAAGAAAACAACTTTTTGAGAAACAGAATGATTCGGTACTATATATATGCAGTTTTTAACTTCCTTTCTTTCGATTTTTTCTTTCTCAGATTGTTAAAGTCGTTTACAACCAAATCCATGTACATGTTAACAAATTTTCTTGCAATCAGAGGTTGTTGATTAGAAGAGTTTACCTTAAATTTCTTGAGCTTCACCTGAGAAATGTTGGCTTTAAGTGCTATCAGTTAGTGCTGATTGCATTATAATTAATTGTCAACTGACTCCATTAAAGAGTTATTTTCCTTGATTTGCTAATTATGCAATTATGTTTGCATTTTAGGCTATTTTCAAGCTAAGAAAATTGAAAATGATCAGCATCCAAAGACCTTCAAAATAGTAAGCATGTCTGAAATTCTTGAATCCTTATAGAAGTCATTTCCCTTAAAAGACGATTTTTGGTGATATAATACTTTGATTTACACTTATTTTATTCTTTTAAGCAGATTTACATGTCATTGAAAAGAATTGATAAGTTGTGTCTGTCCCAAGTCAGGAGCCTGTAATTCAGTGTGATATTGGTTCATGTCTGTTATATTTGTTTTTTTATCGTAAGTTGAATTAGGCCTCTAGTTATCTCGCGTGAATTGTTTCACAGTTTTTATGTCAGAACATCTTATAGCTGACTTTACCATATGGGTTTTTCTCTGTGACCCATAATTGTTTACATCCATGCCATTCGGTCTCCATTGGATATTTGTCTCATTGACAATCATACCACATCTCCTTATTCTTATATTACAAGAAAATTGGTTAACACTTGTGGTTTCTGTGGTAAACAATCATTCATAATAGATATCCCCGTATGCACTGAAAACATTAATAACAAAAGATTATATTTTCGTTTATTTTCAAACAATCTGCTGTCAAAATTTAAACATGACAACAGTTGGGAGGTTTTCTTTTTATTCCAATTTTAACATGTTTAAGACATACCACTTTTACTTGGGAGAAGGGAGGGTTTGTCAATGTTTCTACTGTTTTAAGGTTTAATCAAAATAAAAATTAGAAGATGTGGTATGATTGCCAATGAGACAGAAACCTCTTCTTAACTAGGACAGTAGTGTTGCAGCAAAATATAAGAACAAACCGAGAAAAATCAGTTAGAAATGGCTTATCTCAACGATTTGGTAAGAACATAAAAACAACCAAAATAAATACAAAAGACACACAGTACCAATCTAAGAGTATTCAGTTACAGAAAGCTACCGGTTGTTCTAAGCCCATCAAAACTAATGATTAAATCATGTTCGAACAGTTTAAGTATCAATCAGTGCACATCAAATGGATTCAGTGTGAAGGGTATGCCAACATATGAGAGAATAGTATAGAAAGGATGTAAGTGCATAAGTTTTCATGATTATATAGCAACACATATTTAGTTTTGTTTTAATTTATCAAAAACAAAATCAATGTTAGTACTGATGAAAACAATATTCAAAGAAATCACTAGTATTAAATTGATAACCTAAGTAAGAATAAGTTTATTCAAAGGATCAATGCGTTGACATAAACCGTAACTTAATTAATGGGCTTTATAAACAATATCACTGTAAAAATTAGAATGTGATATATTGTTTTAATCAGAACTCTACAAGTGCAGCTAAACTTCAAAAACAAAGATTTGAAGATATGAAAGAATTCTGTAAACGTTAAGTAAAAGTTATACTTATTAAAGAGAGATAACTCAAAATATTTCACAAATCAAAGGGAGATTTACTATACCAATTAATTAACGTTGTCCTTAAAATACAACTATTTTTATAATGTAAATAACGATAATGCCCTACTGTAAATGAAATTTTGTTGTAAAAAATGACTTTACAGGTATTTATTCCAAAGTGTCATCTTCTTGTTGAATATGTGCATGATTGTATAAATCATGATAGTGTATTTGTTTTTATGTTACAAATGGTCTGCTCAAGTTTGAAATGTTGTTTTGTTTTATATGATAATGGATAATATAGTAACAGTGTTGTCTATGAATGTAAGGTTTTTTTTTCTAATTAAAAAAAAAGAACAGATGTTTTTGATTGGGCAAAGAGCAAAAATGCTTCAGTTATTTGCTTTCAGGAAACCCATAGTAAGAAAGACATATTTAAAAAAATGGGTAGAGGAATGGGGGAAATGCATGGTTTGTTAGTCATCATAGTAACAAAAGTGCAGGTGTCAGTATTATGTATAAAAAAGGTCTTGATTTTAAAGTGCAAAATTCTATTATTGATATAGATGGTCAATATATTATTTTAGATTTATCATTTTCAAGTCAATGTATTACTTTTGTTTGTTTGTATGGATTTAGTACTGATGAACCTTCAATTTTGTCTCGCCTGCAAAGTAAGTCGCAGTATGCGAGACATAGGTATTAATATCCGGCGGCGTAAACTATTTGTATGAAGCGTTATATTTAAGAAGGTAGAAGACCTGGATGCTTCATACCTTGTATGCAGATACATTTTTTCACGAAGTTTCCGTCTGTTATATGCCCATTGTTCTTGACCTCATTTTCATGGTTCAGTGACTGCTTGAAAAAAAATTACAGTTTTTTTGTCATATGAATTTCTCACTTATTATGAGTAATATGATAACTATATTTGGTATATGGGTTCCCTGCAACATCTACATGTCCGTCAGACAGGGTTAACCTGACCTCGACCTTCATTCATGGATCAGTGATCAAGGTTAAAGTTACGTGATTAGGTCCGTTTATCAGATACTACAAGCAGCAGGTCAACTATATGTGGCGAATGGAATCATTGTAAGGGGTACTTGTCAGACTGGCAGATTTCATCTGACCGTGGCCTCATTTTTATGGTTCATTGGTCATTGTTAATTTTTTGTGTTTTGGTCTGTTTTTCAAGTACTGTAATCAATAGGTCAACTATATTTGGTGCTTGGAATGATTGTAAGGGGTACATATCTGTCTAGCTGGTGTAATCTGACCTTGACCTCATTTTAATGGTTCATTGGTCAATGTTAAGATTTTGTGTTTTGGTCTGTTTTTCAAGTACTTTAAGCAATCGGACAACCATATTTGGTTTATGGAATGATTGTAAGGTGTACATGTCTGTCTAGCTGGTGTCATCTGACCTTGACCTCATTTTCATGGTTCATAGGTCAATGTTAAGTTTTTGTGTTTTGGTCTGTTTTTCAAATAAATAGCAATATGTCAACTATAATTGGTGTATGGAATGATTGTAATGTGTACATGTCTGTCTAGCCAGTATCATCTGACTTTGACCTCATTTTCATGGTTCATTGGTCAATGTTTTTGTGTTTTGGTCTGTTTTTCAATTACCATAAGCACTAGGACAACCATATTTGGTGTATGGAATAATTGTAAGGTGCACATTTTTATGTGACAGTTTTTATCTGACCTTGACTTTATTGTCATGAATCTTTAAAATGTTAAGTTTATGAGATACTTGTAGTAAAACCCTTATCTTTAAGATTTTCAACATAAAATCAATGGTGAGTAAAACAGGCGAGACATTTCAGCGTGTGCACTCTTGTTTAATGATATACATAAAAGAATGCCATCATTTTCAAATACTAGCATTTTATTATGTGGGGACTGGAATGTTGTACAAGATACAAACAAAGACACTAACAATATTATTCATAATAGAAACCCTAATTCACAAAAAAAGATTGAAGAAATAGTAGAAAGTCTTGAATTATTTGACCGTTGGCGGACTTGTTATCCAAATTAAAGAAAATATACATGGCGTCAATCCTCACTCATTAAACAAAGTCGGCTTGATTTTTTTTCTAGTCACAGAGGATCTGTTTTCAGAGGATTTGTTTTCACTCGTGAAAATACTAACATTAATCCTGGGTATAAGACAGATCATTCTGTTACTGCTTTCTCCTTCTCTGCCAGTTTAGCAAAGCGGGGAAAGGGATACTGGAAATTTAACTCCCAACTGTTACAAGATTTAGATTATATTAAAAAAATTCAAACATGTATAAATGAAAGTGTTTTAGAATATGAATCAGGGGACATAGATGATCCTCTAAATGTTAAACTCTCATGCAAAAAAAGCTGCAACACTCTTACTTGAAAATCACATTCAAAATTTTGAAAACTGTTTGAACATATCTCCAGATGGTCAAATTCATGCAGCTTTAAACCAGAAAAAGTTAGATTGGAAAACATCAAGGGAAAAAAATTGAAGGTGTTTTATTAAGATCCCACGCTAACTGGCATGGGAATTGGGAAAAGTGTTCAGTTCTTTTGTAAATTGGAAAAGAAAAATTTTATTAAAAAAACTATAACTGAGCTCGTAGACAAAAAATTAAAACATAAATCAGAGCAATCTAGGGATTTACAAGCAGAAATGATTTTTTTAAACATTGTACTCAAGTAAAAATCTGGAATGTGACGATGAATCCTTTTTCAAGCACAATGTTAAACTCACAGAAGAACAGAAAGCATTGTGTGAGGGTAATATTACTTTTAAAGAATGTGCAGAATCATTAAAGTCTACGTCAAATGGGAAAAGTCCTGGCTCAGATGGGTATACTGTAGATTTTTACAAATTCTTTTGGAGAGATAATGGACTTTTTCTTTTTAGATCATTGTATTTTGGCTATGAAAGGGGGAAATTTTCTAAATTTCAGTATCAAATAAAGGCAACAGTTGTATACCGTGTTTAATAGTCATAGTTCGATTAAGCAAAAACAAATCCGGGTAACAAACTCAAACCGAGGGAAACACATCAACAACTATAAGAGGAAAATAACGGAACAACAGAAACACTGAACTACAACAAAAGCAAACACCAACATACATAGACACGGACTGTCTGATAACAACTGCCATATTCCTGACTTGGTTCAGGACATCTAAGAATAAATGGTTGGCTGAACCTTGTTTTATGGTCAGCCAAACCTCCCACTTATATTGAAATGTTAAAAATACCGCTAAAATGACAACACTACGTGACAGGAATACAGTACAAACAAACGCAAGAACACTCAGCACAGAGAAATACATAAATAAATAATATAATAGTACATTACAACATGTAAAACGCAGAATAAAATACGGACACCTCCCGTGAATTTACGACAGCACACCAGGACACCACAAACAAAATGTAAACTGCGCGTCACATGAATGGATCAACGTCACAAACAGTGAAGTATTTTTTGGGACGTTTATATTATCACAGGTAAATTTTCAAAAAATAAAAAAGATGTGTTTTATTTATACTAAATATAGACAAGTATAAGAATATTAAATTGGGATTGAGTTTGTAATGGTGTTATTTTATGTATTTTCAAAGTGTCATTATATGTATTCCAAAAGAAGAAACAGATAGACGTCATTAAGCTAATTGGCGCCCAATTAGCCTTATGAATACTGATACCAAGATTGCTTCTGCTGTCATTGGTAATAGAATAAAACCTGTTTTACCATCTATTATCAGTGACTGTCAGAAAGGCTTTATAAAAGATAGATTTATAGGTGAGAATACACGTCTATTGTATGATTTGATGCACTATTTAGAAAACATAGCAAAACTGGTCTTTTACTACTTGTAGATTTTGAAAAGGCTTTTGACTCCATCGAATGGTCCTTTTTGAAAAAAGCATTGAGGAGTGTCAATTTTAGACCATCTATTTGCAGATGGTTTGAAGTTTTTTTTATATGAAAGCATCAAGCTGTATTTTAAATAATTGTCATCTTTCAAGCTTCCTTAATTTGGAGATAAGCTGTAGACAAGGAGACTCCCTCTCCCCTTTACTTTTTGTAATAGGTGTTGAATTACTTTCTATGATTATAAGATCAAACCCCAATATAAAAGGAATATTTGTTCATGAAAATGAATCCTTTTGAATCAATATGCTGACGACACTTTCCTTATTTTAGATGGAGGTGAAACATCATTCAGGGAGTTTTTATAATGTTTGAATTCTTTCAAAAAAGTATCTGGCTTAAAAATGAACTCTTCAAAAACTAAAGCTGTGTGGGTTGGGAACAAAAAGTAATTAGATCTGATTCTCTGTCCTGAATCAAAACTTCAAATTTCAAACTTTGGGGAATTGATTTCTCTTTAGATCTTGACAGTTTGCCAGAAATTAACTTCTCCAAAAAGATAAAGGAAGTGTCAGGCATTGTTATAGAAAATTAACCCTAATGGGAAAAATTACTGGTATCAATACTTTGATGCTTCCAAAATTAATTCACTTGTTGACTGCACAACCCAACTTGTCAGGGTCAAAATTAAATGAATTGATTATTCTTTTAACTCATATGGAATGGAAAACCTGATAGAATTAGACGAAGTACTTGATTGGAGATATTCCACAAGGAGGTTTAAATATGAATAATATACATTCTTTTAATATATACCTTAAGATTGGCTGGATAAAGCGATTTTCATCCAATTTATATGGTAATTGGCAATAATTGTTATTGAAAAGCCTTGAGCAGTATGGTAGAAATAGTATTGCATTTTCAAAAGGAGAAACCCAGAGAAATCTCTGATTGTCTGAGCAGTGCTTTTTAGAAGGATGTATTTTCGAGCTTTTATGTGGCAAAGCCTACTACCAATATTTCTGTTCAAGATATTTTGTCATTAGATATATATTTTAAATTTGAATTTCTAGTAGATTTTCCATATTTCATTCAGTGGCAGAGAAGGGAAGTGCAGTCTTTGTTTGACCTTGTTAACCTAGAGACCAAGGATTTTTGTAATTTTGGTCAGATGGGACCACGACGAGACTAAACAAATAATTTCTTGAAGTATTATGGTCTCATTGCCAAAACTCCAAAGCATATGAGAGAACATATGAAAGAGAACACTGCTCTTGTAACTTTTGAAACTGTTAACTGACAATTTTTTGGAAAGATTATTGTTCAACAAAAAGGCAAAATTTGTTATCAAAAATATTGTTGATAGAAATGTGCAACTGTCAACAGAAAAGTTATTGCATTGGGAGGAATTACTAGGTATTACAATTGCAGATTGGTCAGAATATTATATTATTTTAAAAAAATCATGTAAAGACACTTATTTAAGAACTTTTCAATACAAATTTTTGCATAGAATGATTGCAACTAATACTTTCTTGTATAAATTCAAACTTTAAGATTCAAAGCTTTGTACATTTTGTAAGGTTTCTGATGAAACCATGGAGCATTTGTTCTATGAATGTCCAATAACACATTTTATATGGCAATCTTTTTCACGAAAATTGAAACAATATTTTGTGAACTTTACATTGTCTAAGAAACACATTTTTCTTGGCCTTCAAAATGAGAACTATATATAAAAATGTAAATTGTATATAAAGAAACCGAGAATTATATAGCTAGTAGCAAAAATAAGAAAATATAGGGAAATGAACATTATATAGCAAGGAAAAATGATATCACTTTCATTTTTGTCGAGCCTGCAACATTTATGTCGTGAAATGGAGACATAGCGATCCTTGATTCTATTGTCAGTGGCGTCAACATTTAGGTTCAGTCTGTGGTTACAGTTTATTTTAAACATTAAAAACTTAGTCAAACCTTCATGGAATTTTAGAAAATTTACAGTATCCAGAGCAAAATTTGAAAATATTTATTTTTATGTTTCCGTATTTTACTGATAAATGGACTTTTTTTTACCAGTCAACATTCAGATTCAGTCTGAGGTAAACAATTTTCAGTCATCAATAACTTTGTCAAAGCCTTTAAGGAATTTTATGAAATTTGGACAGAAGCTTGATAATGACCACGATAGAGTATCCAGAACAAAATTTTAAGAATATTTATTTTCATTTACCCGTACTTTACTTATAAATTGACTTAATTTTTTTTTAGTTACGAAGTTGATACAGTCTGGGTTTAAAGTTTGTTACAGGTCAAATACTTTGTCAAAGCTTCATAGAATTTTATGGAACTTTTGCAGAAGCTTTTTTATGCCCCACCTAGGTGCATTATGTTTTTCGGTCTGTGTGTCCGTCTGTTCGTTCGTCCGTCCGTCGTTCGTTCGTTCGTCCGTCCGTATGTCCCGCTTCAGGTTAAATAAAGTTTATGGTTAACGTTTTGTGTCAAGGTAGTTTTTGATGAAGTTGAAGTCTAATTAACTTGAAACTTAGTACACATGTTCCCTATGATATTATCTTTCTAGTTTTAATGCCATTTTAGAGTTTTGACCCCAATTTCACGGTCTACTGAACATAGAAAATGATAGTGCGAGAGGGGCATCTGTGTACTATGGACACATTCTTGTTATGATTAAGAGATAATGTCTGAAGCAAACTTTTGAAAATATATTTTTTTATTTTCCATTTTTTTCTGATAGATAGACTTATTTCTTTACGGTTAACATTTACAGACTGTCTGGGATTAAATTTTTTGACATGACAAATTTGTAAACCTTCATGGATCGTTGTGAAACTTTGACAGAAACTAATCTTCAATACCAAGAAAAAGTCTCTAAATAAAAATTTTTATTTTTATTTTAATTTCTGTATTTTCTGATAAATAAACTCACGTTTTAAAGTCAATATTACACTTTTACACTGACAGCAACAATAGCAGGCAAAACATTGGGTTCTGCGGAAATCCTTACAAATGTTTTCAAAAATTCCGGGCCCCTGTAGATTACATTTTTACTGATTAGTAACAATTACTTTTGATTCAAATCATATAAAAGATGGAACTTACAGTTTATAAAGAGCAGATTTTTACAAAGAACATTTTCTTTGCAATACACAAGTTGATGTATGTTATGTAAATGCAACAGCAAGAGTGTGTGTATGTATTTGTAATTGTTCTTTTCCCATATTTATTATAATTTTGTTATTCATATAATATATATTCACAGTGGTAGAAAAAATGTGGTCATTATTCAAATTTCGTTTTATTCATCAAACAATTTTTACACCTTAGTCAGGTAGTGATTTACAGGGATTGTAAAAGCCTGACTACTAAAACAAATTAATAAAAAAAAGGTAAAAGGAAGATCATTATCAAAAAAATGAAATTCAAGACAATTTTGGAATAAGGCAAAGTTTTTGATGTTAGACTACATTCATATTAGTGCATATGCTCTCTTTAAATAGCCACCAAAGCTGACTGAGGGATAGAAATATCACTTTAGTCTTCTTCCGACTGGCAGTAAAACCCTTGCAAAAGTTGGGAGGCTGTTTGGGTGTGCAGGATTTACAAGTATGCAGCCACGTCCAGTCAGAATATAGGGACATTGAATCGTATGCCTTGTGTTGAGAGATTGCCATGCACTCTGCATGTTAAGAACCCTTGCAAAAACTCAATGAGGGGTCCATAGGTGGGCTTTTGCAAAATAAAAATCTATCCCTTTCCAATGTACCCTCATTTTATAGTGCCAGTAAAAATTTCCCAAACCTTCATCACGGACAGTGTCTATGACAGCACCTACTTACTATATTTATTGTTAATATGATCTCGACCTCAACATGCATGTAATTTTTGCCACTGCATGGTAAGCAACCAACAATAAATCAATCAATTTGAATTTAAAATAGTTAATATATATATTTTAGTTACCTAAAATCAAGCCAGTTTTGAGATTAGACCAAGTTTTTTTTATTGTCCTATACATTTGTGTTGGTAAACAGGCTCTTAATATACATGTAGTTCAACTATATTTTTTAGTTATCGTAACTATGAAAACATTTGGGTTGGTTTAAATGATAGAGATTCAGAAAATGGTAAGTTTACTTTTTAATTCTTTTACATTGTTTTATTTTTGCAGTTTTCTAATTTGCTAAATGTATTGATATAAGGGAAGACCTTAGGTTTACATATTAGAGACAAGTTAAATTTGCATATTTTTTCTACTAACAAAAATTACTATGGATCTATTTATTTACCTATATTGAGCAAAAATTGTATTTTCTTTGATATTTGATTTCATATTTTACCAAAGTCGGCATACAAGCTTAAGCCTGTAGAAAATTTGTATTTCCCTTGATCATGTAAAGGAGTAAGCTCGGTAAAGGGCATATTTTGCCCCGATTATAAAGTTTAATGTTTCAAGATAAAAAAATGTTTTAAGTTGATTTAAAGACATGTGAGAAAGTTAAATAGAACTATTTGTGTCAAAGTTTTCTTCTAAAGCGTTGATTTTTACATCCCAAATAGGTCAAGATAAGAGATTTTGGCGAAATTTGACAAAATCGGCCGGATTTCAACTAAATTCAAATTTAGGACCAGGAAACATAGAGCACGGCGTCGACAAACTAAATATTCACGTTAGACATGTAAAATGTCTTTACAAACATTATATTTAAAGATTTTTTTTGTCGATGTATTCGCTCTTTGTTTCCTGTCCAAAAATCAATGGAAATTTACCCATTTTCATTGACATTTTCGTGGAAAATCAAAATGAGTACTAATTGTGACGTCATGAATTAAACGCAGGAACGTAAATTTTCAACAAAAAGGCTTATTTCTTATTTAGTAACTGTTTTAGCTATGATTCATTGTGATAGCGGTCAATATATCCTAATTTGAAATTTAAGCTAAAAAAGGGGGCCATTTTTGGGCCATATCGAACCTACTCCTTTGTGATTTACATTTACCCACGAAAACCATGAAAATTGGTATTCCACGATTAATGATAAATCTAGAGTAGTTGAGAGTATTCAAAGTGTTCCATATCTAATTGAATCAATTAGAATTTGCCACCAATGTTTGTCTGTAAAAGGTAGTTACCGAAATTGCTAGCTGTTATTTTTTTTTAATGTTTAGGTTTTGAGTGGTCTGATGGATCCCCAGTGGACTTCATGATGTGGGGAACAAATGAACCTAACGATAAATATCAACAAGAGGATTGCGTTTCGATCAATAGATATGGCAGCGGATGGAATGATGATAATTGTTACAAGACTGAATCGTTTATTTGCAAAATTCAGAAAGGTAAAAAATAGGTCATATGAAATCTTTTACATAGCTATAGATTGAAATATAGAAAGATGCATTGAGTTGCTATGGTAACTGTTGCATAGTCAATATGTCTGCTCTCCATATATTAATTGGAGCCTCCCAATTTTTATTTCAAATATTTATGAAATTCTTCTTAAATTTATAGTGTGCCCAACTACCTGTCGTGCTGTTTAAGCTACGGCCTTCGTTTTAGCCACTGCAAACATACTTTATACATACTGTGCGCACAATACTAGTAACAACAAAAATAGGTCCCTTACATCAAGAGGAGATAATCCAATTTACTTGCTTCAATATTGCAACATGAGTTATAAGCATGCACTGCCTTATTGGGAGTCTCGCTCTTAGCATGCTTTTTAACATTGTACAGGCCAACAGAAGCAACTATAATGTTGACTAAACGTAATCTGATAGTGTGTAAAATGAAGATTCATCGCCGAGTTAACTTGGTAGTAAAGATTGAAAAAATTGCAGTTATATTATTTTTTTACACTGCCGCTTGGTCCAGACGAAAACATCTTTCTTGTTGGAGTTAACATGGCAGATATGGTTTTCAATTACTTATAAATTGGAACATAAAAACTACTCTCCAAAATTTTCAAATGATCACTCATTGTTTGTTTATTCCTATTGACAGTTATTAAAAATCTTGAGAAATATGAACGGGGGTCATTCTTAGTTAAAATAGCCTAATGCGGGAGATTCTATACTTCCGCACAGGAGCAAACTGGCAAGAGGGAAATTTCCGGAATTTCGTCATTTGTGCGGGACGCTTCTACTCAAAATGGAGGGTTGGCAGGTATGATAGAACACTACCTGAGAATATGCATGAAGGAATTTAATCCTGTTCCCACATGTTAACTGGGAGATGATTCAATGAACTTTCTTCATTTTATATCATGTGAGCATAAAATCCTAAATAGCTAGACAGATATTCATGAAATTTTAAACATTTTTTTAGAACTGCCTGAGTATGTGCATGAAGGAATAAAAAACTGTTTGCAATTGTTAAAGGGTAGATAAATCAACTTCAATTTTGCAATATGTAATAATAAAATGCAACTCCTCCCAAAAGAATATCAGTAACTAGAATCTATTCGATGCAAGACTTGTTTACCCAAAAGCTTTCATACTTGGTAGGATTGTGTGTCATCATGGGTAGTTACGTTTATTATATGGTCATTTTGATTGACAATTCTTTCTATAGCTATGTAACTTTGATCATATTTGAGCCAGCCATTTTTGGCTCTATGTCACCACTTTGGATATCAAGGTGGAATAGGATTCTTAAGGGCATATACGAGTTGAGTATAGGGCTTTATTTCATTACAACAATTAAATGTGATAATACAATTTAAATGATATGTTTCAGGGATGCCATTGATAGAACCAAATGACACATACACTAAAGGTAAGTATGTGTACAAGAAATGTTTTTGATTGTAAGTTACAGTAACTTTGAAGTATTTGAGTTATAATTGCAATGTGAGATCAGATAATATAAGCCTGAAATTAAGAAACGCACAATGGATTCAAATTTTGAGAAACTGCTTTTTATTGCTACCACTTTAAGATGCAGATATGATATGCCATCCAAATTTCATACCTGCCAACTTTTGAAAATTTCCATTGGGATTTAGTACACAACATCATTTTCAAAGGTTACTATTTTCTTTTCATTTGCGTGGTTCTTGTACTTATATTTTTGTGTTTAGAAGATAGTACATTTTGCTATAACTCAGTTAGAATATCAGTCAAAAAATATGGACAAAGAATTAACATTCATCTGATTCCTTGTGAGAAATAAAAGACTGTATTTTGTCTACCATGATCATAATTTTTAAAATGTCTGACATACAGACAGAGTATTACAACTCAAAAAGGTCTAAACAAGTTCGAATTTTTCCATGTTTGCAATCCCCAATAATCATGAGAAACATCAATGTTGATTGACTTATTAGCATAATCACAAGAAACCCTGATTTTGATTGGCTGATCATGATTGTCTTCCAAAAGTTCAAAATCGGGAACTAACAAATTTTTCGAGTAGAATTACACAAAATCATGTTTTAGAAACAAGAAATGATTTGAATCTGGAATAATTTTGAAATCTGGAAAATCAATAAGAAACCTATGACTTGAACTAACCCAATTTGTGAGGGTAAGACATGGGGGGGGTTTAGTTCATTCTGAATTATCATTAAAAGTAAAATTAACCTTAGCCATGCGCTAACCCTTTTTAGTTTGGTTAGTTTTCATCATACATTTCTTATCAATTTTCAAGAATTCAAAATTATGTCAGATTCAAATAAGAATTTGTTTAGCGCTTTTCAATTTGGACAAGGGGTGAAAATCGCCTTAATCGTGAAAGTTGGCAGGTATTAAATTTTCTGCAGTCAGATTAACAGTTTAATTTGGGGATAGATCACAAATTGGAGAACTGTTCCTTATTCAAATAGTGATATGTAAATGATAAGATATTTCAAAATGATTGAAGGTAACATTCCAAAATAAAAAATTGGTTTAAACTTACTTTTTGTTGAAAATCTCAAATTTTGAGAATTATTTTTATTGTTTAAATGAATATTTATAAATGTACATAGGTAAAATATGCATTCTAAATTGTTTCCAGATTACAAAATTCTGATATTAAAATATATTTTGTTACATAATGATTTATTTTGTTGATAGTATTTCAATAAAAATTGTCATGTAGTTATAATTTGACTTATGAAATTATTCTCAGTCAAAAATTATTGTTTGCCCACCAAAATACAAAGTGCTTAGATTTTAACAAAACTAATATTTGACCCAATTTCACATTTCATGGATCGTGGAACCTAATAGTGCTACGCAGCGATGTTAAGGCAATTTCGATAAGATTTTGTCAGGGGCAGATAACCCCGTAAGGACCTCATTATGTATTCATATATTCATTAATGGCGAAGATTCCGTAAGCTGCGTCTATCGCGATGAAACTGTATGAAATCAAATTACATACATGCCTGTTAACTAAAAACGGGTATCCATATTATGTAATTTGTTTATCGAAACACGAATATTGTATGTTTGTGCTTTAATTATTATGGCGAACAGTTGCAATAGCTGTATTTGTTGACGAGATTGTCGGCTTGTGGACCCTGCCTCCTTTTGCAGATTAACCAATCAGTAGACGATCGCCGTCAAATAGATGTTTGTAGTTTGCAGAAGGGAAAGAACCTTGCAGCGAAAATTATTTTCACTTCTATGTGAAAATCTAACCAGAAAAGTAAGTGTGAGCCTCCAAATATGTATTATTTATGAAACATACGTTGCTTGTTTTGTTAATCATGCGCTTCAGAAATAAAAAAACTGTATACTTATAGATAAAAACGATACACTTACATCTGATTAAAAAGCAAAAGCTAATATTTTAAATGAACAGTTCAAAAAAGCATTCACACCTGTAACAGATGATCCAATACCAGATAAGGGCGTCAGTAAACATCCACAGATGATGATATTGAAATACAAAAACAGGGCATAGAAAAACTTCTAAATAACATCAATATCAACAAAGCAGCTGGGCGTGATCTCATCCATGGAAAAATTTTAAAAGAGTGTAAGACATCTATCACTCCCATCTTGTCAATCATATTCCAAACATCACTAAACTCTGGGAAGATTCCAGATGACTTGCGTCACGCAAGTGTATGTCCAGCATTCAAAAAAGGCGACAAACACGACCCTATAAACTATCGCCCCATATCATTGACTTGCATCTGCTGCAAACTATCAGAACATGTTGTAGCTAGTAATATAATGAAACATCTGGAAAAAAATAAAATACTATATGACTTACAATATGGTTTTCGATCATCTCGCTCCTGTGAAACTCGGTTAATATCATTTATTCAAGATCTTGCAAATTCAAATAATAAAAACATTCAAACAGACATCATAATAATGGATTTTGCAAAAGCATTTGATAAAGTTTCACACCACCATCTCATGTATAAAATCGGTTTCTACGGTATAAATTACAATGCATTACATTGGATTCAAGATTTTTTAACAAACAGAACACAAACAGTAGTCCTTGAAGGTGAAACATCAAATAAAATTCCTGTAACATCTGGGGTACCTCAAGGCTCAGTGCTTGGTCCAATTTTATTCTTAATATTTATAAATGATTTGGCAGAATATATTGAACATAGTACATTAAGATTGTTCGCAGATGACAGTATTATTTATAGGGAAATTAAAAAACCAAATGACACATATACATTACAGTCTGACTTGGAAGCGGCCGGCAGATGGGAGCAGGACTGGCTCATGCATTTTCACCCTGATAAGTGCAACATTCTCAGTGTAATTAAAAAACGCAAACCTTTAGACTTCACTTATAAATTACACAATCACTCTCTAGAAAAAGTTGACTCTACAAAATATTTAGGCCTAACTCTTCAATCAAATTTAAAATGGGACAAACATATCGATAACATGACATCAAAAGCAAATCAGTCTCTTGGATTTATTCGTAGAAACCTAAAAATAGCCTCACCTAAAGTTAAATCACATGCATTTGAAGCTCTTGTCCGACCAAAACTAGAGTACTGCTCAACTATTTGGGATCCACATCAAAAACAGCAAATTTCACAAATCGAAAAAGTTCAGAGAAGAGCAGCGCTTCTTATGCAACCGCTTCCATAACACCAGCTCAGTTACTGAAATGATGAAAGACTTAAATTGGTACCCACTTGGAATTAGGCGTTTACGATACAGACTTGTCTTCTTCTACAAAATTATACACGAAATTGTTGCAGTCCCTACATATAACCTTTTGATCCCACTAGACAATAGAACTAGACATATCAATCCACACTCATTTAGGCAAATACAAACATCTAAAGACAGTTATAAATATTCATTTTATCCACGAACAGTTATATATTGGAATCATCTGCCACAACAAATAGTATCATGCAGTACGGTACAGGGATTCAAGAGTATGATCTAAGAATCTGCTCTCATCCCCATTTTCTATCCCTAACTATTTTGTTATCAAATGTATATAGTTTTATCTAAATGGAATTTTTCAAATGTACATACATTTTTTTTGATTTTTTGATTTTGTTTCTTTTTATTTTTCTTGCTACAATGTAAATTATAAAATTTTATAGTCGACGCCCGGCGAATAATCTTCAATAATTGAAGGATCGCTAGAAACTTAAAGAAGAAGAACTAGTTCAGTGTTGGCAAGCATGATATACACGTGGTCATGGTGGTCAAAACGAAACTAGACTGCAACAAATATCTGAAATTTGAATAATTTATCGAATCCGGTCAATAAATGAACAGAATATCGATAAACAAGATCCCTCCATTATACCGAGAGCCCATTCTCAACATTTACCCTGAAATTCGTTTCTAATTTTCGTTTATCAGGTACCTGCCATTCGGGGAAAAGGGGGGGGGGATTCCACCGTTCACTTCTCTCATGCTCTCCGGCACCCACATTGCTGGAGCCATGACCCCTACTTTCAAAGCATGGAGCTCTGAATTTGTAACACAGGGCCCACAAACCTGCTCAAAAGGAAGCCTTGCAAGACGTCATAATTATTTGGACTACCCCCCCTCTTTCCAACTTCTACTCCCACCATTTAATCAGTGTGAAGTCCATACTATATTATTTTCTGCTTAGAGCTGTTGGTATTAATCAACTTTGAATTTAAAAGGGCGGTAAAGGGTTAATTTTATGCAATGTTTTTTATTTACCCAGTGTTTATATTTTATTTCACTTGCTTTCGTGTTTTGACGTTTGACCTCTCAATACATGTATCTCGTGTTTGGTTCGATGTGCGTGCTACATGTTTTCCCTTATTTATTTCCATGTTTCCTGTCGTACAATTTATTTCTCATGCTTGTCAAAAAAGTTTTGCAATTCTATTGAATATTTATGGTTCATGTACCCGTATGTGATAAAGAACTTTAAATTTAAATGTACTATAAATAATAATGTTTTGAAATCGGATGCAACTTAAGCTGTTAAGGAAGTTAAAAGGTGACAGCAATATGATTACATCTTTATGTCCATTAAAAATGACTGCAGAAGGCTGAGTATCTGGGTAATTATTTGGAAATATCCTGGACAGTGCGTCTTTCTCTGGAAAAAGCCTGTGCACCTTGAATAAATTATCTTATTATCTGTGAACCAGTATTTTTTAAATCATTACCAAGTCAGAAATATATATATAACCAATTGCAAGTTTATGTACTTAAATTGCTGGCTAAATAGAACAATTTTTAATACATAGTCAAAATAATTTTATAAGTTCTTGAAAGGCTTTGTTAATGATTAACTGGGACGCCTTTCTCATGTTCCTATGACCGTCATTATTAGGAAGGAATCGCAGCAAAAAATTGAAGAAG